AGCGGGCCACTCCTCAACCCCGAAAAGCGTCCACTCAACCAGGCGGTCGATCCAACCACCAAGCCCGAACCCGCGCTCGCGCGTTAATTGTTGCAGATCTGCTTCGTCAAAGTCATCAGGCGTTTCGTCGGAGTCGTAGTCGTATTCGGACTCTGAGGCGCCACCGTCTTCACCGTCCCAGAGTTCCGAGTCTTCGTCTGAAAACGCCCGGTGTTGGTGTTGGTGTTGGTGTTGTAATGTAGCCATCTCGGCGCGGATACGCTCGTCTACGAAATCGGGCTCTAATCTGCCCCGGCCGCGGATTTCGGGGCTTGCTGTGCCTGTGCCCGTGCTGGGGCCCGAGCTGGGGATTTTCCCTGCTGTTGTCGGGGATGATGATGAGGCTGGGATAGTAGTCATTGTCAGACCGACTCGACTGCCGCGTCGACTTCCGCCACGGGATCGGGAACTGCGACGGGAGAGGGCACCTCCGGGTGTGGAAGCGCCGGAACGGGACTTGCGCGAAGAAGAGGCGCCTGATTTAGTACGGTGGTGGTGGCGGTTATTGATAGCCGTGTCATCGGGCATTTCGACAAGGCTTGTTGAGCTCTCGCGTTTAGAGAGCCAGCTCTGGCCTTTTTCTTCGCGGGTTGACGAGGCCAAGGCTATCCCCGCACGAAGCATCCATTCCGCGTCTATGTTGGGCGTGTGCGGTGTATCGGGAAAGTGGCGTCGCCCAGGAAAGGTGCTTGCTGGTTTCTTTTGTGTGCTGTGGTGGAGGGGATTTGACAGGCCGTGGCTGTGGAGGTTTGAGTCGCTTGATGGGCCTGTTCGGTTTGAGCTTTTGCTGCGCGTGTGGCGGGTATGTGAGCTGCTGCGCGAGTGGGAGAGGATTGGGGGTGTGCTTGGGACTGAAATGCTGGATAGGTAGGATGGGGCTGGGTATTCGTGGTTGGTGCTGGTTGGGGATTCATTTTCGTGGGTGAAGTAGTCTGTTGGCTCTGTGTCGTCGTCTATGGGGAATCGTGGGGTCAGTGGTGCTAGGGAGACGTGGTTGAGGTTGGGGTATGAGCGCCGGGAGCGAAAGCCCCCCGAGGTGGTAGTAAACTATAGTTTATTAGCATTCATGGAGCATTGGATATGGTTCAGAGTCCGATATTCACCTCCATTATGGGGTCCAGCATGGAGAAAAAGAGAAAAGACGGCGAAGATGGGGAAAATGCGGAGTTGCTGCACGTGCGGTTTGGTTGGCATGTGAAAGCCGAGCCCGGCAATTCGACTGTTTTATATTAAAGAATATTTGTAGAAAAAGAAATAAGAAAGGTGGAGTGAAATAAATTATAGCAAGTTAGCATTTAATAAGAATAGTTCAGGTGGAATGACTATCTAAAGTGACACAGAAGAAGTATACTCATCATATGATGGTGGCGCGATCGTTAGGGCTAGCGGTGTGTATGTTACTGTTTGAACTCGTAACTTATAGATCATGCGAAAGATGACCAGAGAAATGCATTCATTTGTACAAAATAGCCATGTAATATATACAGCCCAACATATCTGAGCACCCACTCACAGTCGCGAATCTTGGAAGTCCAAATAATCGGCACCCTTGACGCGCAAGTCTTCCAGAACATTGTACTCCATAATCCACTTCATACGTTCCATCAAAGCATCAGGGTTGAAGCTCTTGTCCATCTCATCAGGCGAGTCCGAGCTAGCCAGCTTGCCAGCCTCGTAGCTAGTCTGGGTAACACGGTCCGTCCGAGGCTTACGCAGGTCCTGGTAGAACTTGAACGCATCCTCGAGGTTGTCCGTCTTCCAGTGGCGGAGGACGGTAGCTAGGGCGATACCAGACTCAATAGCCATGCAAGTTCCTTGGCCTAAGATGATATTAGTGTATATCCCAAGGAAACAGATACAAAGCGGGCTTACCTTGGTGAGGAAGAGTCGAGTGAACAGAATCACCCAGCAGAATGATACCAGCATCCTTCTGACCACCTTCCTTCATTTCGTACCACTTATCAATCGGGTCACGCACATACAAAGCCTGCTTAAGCATCTTGCCATCGGGCGAGCCCTTCCGCAAACCAGCAATAATATCCTGCACCGCCGGACACCATTCACGCACATGCTCATGCAAACTATCGATATCAGAACGAGCCATCCAACCCTCGGTATCCCAAGCCTCGATAGGCTCAGACATGAAACCAATAACAGCAGCACGGTCGGTTTGTGTCTCCTTATTACCAATAGGCAAGATTAAGACATGGCGCTTAGGACCACGGAAGTTGACAGTCTTGCGAAGCAGCTGCGCAGTCTCAGCTGGCAGATCCTTATAGTCGACGAAACCACGGTACACAACCTGGCCCGAATAGTTGGGATCATCGCCCAGTCCCATATCCCGGCGCACATTCGACTTGATTCCGTCGCAGCCGATTACAATATCTGCATCAGCTGAGCTGCCATCCTGGAACCGCAGGGTGTACGGGGCTGAGCCGGCAGTGGTGTTGCGGTCCACCGATGCTAGGTGCTTGCCCAGGTTCAGACATGATTTGGGGACACGTTCCTTCAGCGAGTCGAGCAGATGGGCGCGGTGCAGGAGGCGAGCTGGGGGTTTGGAGAATTCTCCAATGTGGCCCACGTAGTCGCCCGTCTTGTAGTTGTGGTACTCCATGTAGGAGGGGAGCTGGCGGGATGACTTGCGGGTCATGCTCTCTTGTAGGCCGAAAGCGTCCAGGACGCGGTTGGCGTTGGAGGTGATGTTCACGCCGGCGCCGACTTCGCCGAATTGGGACGCTTGTTCGTATAGTTGGACGTTCTTCAGGCCGGTGTATAGTGCTGCATTGAGGAAGGCCATGCCTCCCAGGCCACCACCGACGATGGCTACTCGCTTGTTTTCGAATCCCATTGCGAAAGGTATAGGTATAAGGGGGAAATGGAGAAGGGTATCTTATTCACAAAGTAGAGGAAATAAGCTGTTGTTATAAGTTCACGAGCAAGCTATAAGTATGGCCATCGGGACATCCCCCGCCTCCAGGATTGCCGTTCCGATCAACCGCTAGCTTGGTAATGGCCTTTCGGAGCGTGGAGCAAGTGTGGGGTGATGAACGTCAATGAAACTTCCGAGTCTTTACTCCGGATTTCCCGGCCTATGGGCACATAGACGCCTATACTGGCATTATGGTTATTTCCGAGCCCAGAGTTATATCGGAAAGTCCAATGTTGAACTATGGAAGACTGCACAGTAGATATATGGACGGAAGTTGTAGATTTTATTTTTTAATTAATTCTATATCTAATTAATGTGCAACTATAAAGTCATGGACCTGCATATCAAATTAGATGCCGGTAGGATTGTACATGGAGCCCGGAGCAACCGAGCTGATCAGTTCGGATGCCCCGCCATTTGGTGGCGTGCAACATCCGAAGCCCCACGGGCAGTCGGATAGCGATAAGCGCTTATCGAGGCTGTGTCCGCTAATATGAAATCTGTCATTGGTCGGGTGTATATAGAAGATTATTTTTTTGAGGGTCCGAAATTGTTATATACATGTACATTGGATTATAACTTATCCTTAAATCCTTACTCCACAATCTTACCCTTCTTGACAACGAATCCCTCCAATGCCGCAATAGCCGCCCACAGACGGTTTTCGGCTTCGGGGAAGACCAGAGAGCGAGGGCTGTAGAAGACCTCGTCGCTCACCTCCTCTGGGTGACGGGGTAGACAGTGCATGAACTTCCAGCCCTCCTTGGCACCGCCGCGCTTAGCCAGATCGGCAGTGATCTGGAAGCCCTCGAAGGCCCTCATGCGCTTCTTGGCCTCCTCTTCTTGGCCCATTGAGACCCAGGTATCCGTAACCAGAATGTCAGCGTCCTTGACAGCCTCTTCGGGGATATTGGTCTGGGTGAGCTTGCCAGCATTGGGCACACCCTGTCCAGCGCCCTGGATGATGTCAAGCATATCCGCGGGAATCTCGTAGCCCTTAGGCGTAGCGACAGCCATATCCACACCCATCTTAGTAGCACCAATAGCCAAATCGAAGAGGACGTTGTTTGCATCGCCAACCCAGGCGATCTTCAGGCCCTCCAGGCCGAGTCCGGAGAGCGGACCCCCCTTGGTGGGGAAGGACTCGTAGATAGTGAGGAAGTCGGCGATGATCTGGAGTGGGTGGAAGGAGTCGCACAGCGCGTTGATCACAGGCACGGTGGAATGCTGGGCCAGATCCGCAACGTCCGAGTGCTTCGCAACACGCGCGACAATGCACGACACCATTGACGAAATCACAACGGACGTATCATATACAGACTCGTTGACACCAAGCTGGATGTCGTCCTTGCCCAGGAACATGGGGTGGCCGCCCATTTGGACGGTGGCAGCTTCTGTTGATACACGTGTACGAGTGCTACGCTTGTTGAACATCATGGCCACGGTCTTTCCGGAGAGGGATCCTAGGAGGCTTTCGGGGATGGACCCGGACTTGATGGCATGTTTGTGCGACGCAGCATTGCGGACCAGGGTGGCGAATTCGGTTGGGGTCAGGTCTGCGATAGAGAGCAAATGCCGGGGAGCGAAAGGAGAAGTAGGTAGTGTAGTCGGTGTCTGGTGGGCAAATCGTCGGAGTCCATTAGCCTGGAGTGTTCGACGCAATGAGGTAGAGCCGGCCAATTGAGTTACACTTTGGGACCCATAGCGGGCAGCAGCTGTGAGACCACTAGCCATGATGGGAGGATAGGAATATGGGAATTTTGGGGAGAGGGAACAGGAAGGGAGACCTGAAGAAGAGAGATAGCCAATGACTCAATAAAACCCGGGTGGATGTGCGGTGATGCCTTGTAGCCTTGTAGCCTGACAATCCAGGCGCGAAGGTGTCCACATCTCCACATTCCGTTATCATCGCTTATCGTCATCGCTTTCGCCTCCCAGCCCTGACTTACCTCGCCTGCGTTGCCTTGTATTCCTCTTTTGTGATCATTAGACTCCAGACTATCATTATTTACTCCTTACATCTCCGGTCACAATGGCCGAGGAAAGCCGGCCTCTGCTGGATGGGCAGTCCAGCCCCCTCGAACAATCTCCCGATAGGGCATCCACCGACCAGCCCAGGCCATCATTCGAACTATCTACAGAATCAACACCTCTTCTACATCGCCGTGAGGATGGATTGACGATCTACGGGACCGAGCAAAGGATATCCCGGTCCTCCTCAGTCGCATCACGAACATGGTATGAAGACGGCCCCACCAAGAAGCCGAGCCGCGTACGATGGCCGACGGTGATCTCACTTGCTATTTTAACAGCAAGTGTCCTGACGATATTGGTACTCGCTTTTGCTGCTCCGGCAGTCGTGAAAGAGTATGCGCAACAAGCCGCAGTGTTCAAGCCAACGGCCGTCTCGATCGATTCGACAACCTCTGATGGCATTCGCGCTCGGGTCCAGGGCGATTTCGTGATGGACTCGGGTCGTGTGAAGAATAAGTCGATTCGGAACCTTGGTCAACTCGCAACATGGATTGCCAAGGAGGTTGAGACTGGCCCGTCGGATGTTGAAGTCTACCTCCCGGAGTATGGGAATGTTCTTGTTGGGCATGCAGCAGTGCCCTCCCTCAAGTTCAGCATTCGCAGCGGCCATCATACCCATGTGGATTTCCTTACTGATTTGGAGGCGGGTGATATCCGAGGAATTCATGCGATTGCTATTGATTGGATTGAAGGGAGATTGGGCCGCCTCAATGTAAAGGGCAAGGCTACGCTGCATCTCAAGTCGGGCTTGATTGCCCTGGGAACTCAGGTGCTAACAGATAACATAATCTTCGAAGGTATATTACTATATTGTTTTGGTTAATTGCTGTTTGACTCTGAGCTGACCTCTTTACAGAGAAAGATTTCCCCGCTCTACCAGAGATTGATATTCTCAAGTTGAATGTACATGATGAGAAGAGTGGAGCTCTGGCAGTGGATGTTCTACTGGAGACTTTGATTGACTCTCCTATTGCCCTTACCGTTCCTGCTCTCGGATTTGACATTTTAGTGCCAAATTGTTCACCAGGGGATCCTTATATTCGCGTTGCGTCTGCGAAGACGGCCGAAATCGAGGTTCACCCTGGCCAGCCAACTCCAGTCGGTGTTGATGGTCTCATCCAGAATCTCCCTGATGAATTGACCTCTACCTGCCCAGGAGGCGAGGGGTCCCCTCTGGACTTCTTGGTTTCCAACTATGTACAGGGCCTCGAGACAACAATATATGTTCGAGGGGCTGAGGCACCATCACCAAACACCCCAGCATGGATGGTTGATCTGATGCGCAGCGTGACCGTGCCTTTGCCATTCTCTGGACACGCATTGGACAACCTTGTGAAGAACTTCACCATGTCCGATACACACTTCTCTCTTCCAGACCCCTTTGCGGACCCCGATTCCCCAGACTCTCAGCCTACAGTCTCTGCCCTGGTCAAGGTCCTGATCGCCTTGCCAGAGGAGATGAACTTCAAGGTTGATGTTCCGCAAGTTCGCGCTCTTTCAGATGTCTACTATAAAGACGAGAAGCTCGGCGTGTTGGTCATCGACAAATGGCAAGACGCCAACTCCACAGTCGTCAGCGACGAAGATGGCTCATCGGCACTCCTCGTGGAGTTCTCCATAGAGGATGCGCCATTACAGGTCACAAATGACGGACTCTTGGCCGAGGTCATCCAAGCACTGTTGTTCGGTAACGAAGCAATCGTGTTGCGGGTCGCTGCCACCGTAGATACAAAGGTTTCAACCGGCCTAGGCCGCTTTGCAGTGCACGGGATTCCCGCGGAAGGGAAAGTTCCCGTGAAGAGTATGTTTTCGTTTTCATAAGTTAGAAGATACTAGTATAAATCAAACGAATTTTGGCCATTGACATTGTCATAGCTTCCTTCGGCGATTTGCTCGGTCATTTCAATCCGCGCGTGGTCTCGTTGCAATTAGGCGATACGACTGAATCTTCGATGGTTGTGTCTACGCAGGTTAATTTCACCAATCCGACAAATTACTCCGCTACTGTTCCTTTTGCCGACTTTCTGATACTCTACAATGACACGGCTGTGGCGCATATCACTGCCCACGATATATTTGTTGCTCCTGGGAACAATACTTACGTGCCCATTGACTTTTCATGGTGTCCGTTAGAATCGAGTGGGCCAGATGGCGTGGATGCTGGAAGAACGTTACTCTCTTCCTATATATCAGGTTAGTCATTCCGATTCGTTCAGTGATGCAGTATACTCATATATTCCCAGGGTTAAACACGACAATCACCATAAAGCCTCACAAGAATACAATCCCATCTCTCCCACATCTAGGCAAAGCCCTATCAAACCTCGCCATCACCGTACCAATCCCACCTATATCCCCCCCAGGCTCCCCAGACAACGACGACGACGAAAAACCGCATTTTATTCAAGATGCAACGGTACTATCCACCCACCTTCAATAATTCCATTTCCCAATACATGACCAACAACCAAAAAGAAACGAATCGAGCAGCTAACAATCTCCACGAAACAGTTCTATCTCTGGTCCTCAACAGCACAATTCACCCTCTTCTCCCCACTAACAGAAACAAACATCCTAGTAACCTCAATCAACGCAACAGCATTCTACGAGAAAAACGAACCAATCGGCCGAATCCAAAACCACGACCCTTTCAAGGTACCACCGGGTCTATCCCAGACTCCGCGTTTACCAGTGGATCTTAATATCGGGGGTGTGGGGTATGACGCTTTGCGCAAGGCCCTTGGGCAGTCGTTGGAGATGGATGCTGTTGCAAAGGTCGGGGTGCAGATTCGGAATTATGTTGATGTTGTTCTTTATCGGGGGAAGGGGATTGCTGCTAAAGTTAGAATTTAGATGTTTTATTTTATTTGTTTTGGTGCCTTTTCTTTTCATTTGTTTGTTTCTCGTTACTGCTGGTTTGGTAGTGGGATTTGGAGTGGAGTATGTGTACGTATATATCTTTGCTTAATGGAAGATGGATGATTATTTTTTGAAGGGTCTTTGGGAAATACAGTTGACCTGATGCACAACACACCCTTCAACTAGTATGCTTATCTATAACGTATCAGGCTTGCTTTCACTGTGGGTGGTAACAACGAATGCCGGTGAAGCTATTAGATGCAGAGTGGAGTATTAGGCTTCGGCCCAGGCGACGGCAGATGGATAGCTCTACACCGCCAGTTTTAAGTCTAGGAGATTGAACACTGAGTTTCGAGTACTAGGATAAATGAGATAGATGGCAGGCAAACAGTATTTGAAACAAGTTACATATATAATGGGTAGACCATTTGCTTTCAAATTATATCAACTCCACAGGAAAGCTAGAAGGACGCAACCAATTCAATCCTATTCGGGTATGTGTATGTTTTTGAATTGAAGATATAGAGCTTAGCCGGGGGGGAGGGTGCTGGCATCGACAACGTCGGCGGCATCCTTCTCGATCTCCTCGTTGGGCTCAAACAGAGGAGAGCGGGGAAGGGCCATCAGACCGGTCCGGGTGGACTCGAGGATACCGAAGGGTCCGATCAGCTTGAGGAAAGAATCGATACGGGAAGGCTTAGCAGAGCTGTTAAGAATAATGAGTCAATGGTGATCGGCATGTATGAGTCAGCGAGGAAGGTACTTACACCTCGACAATGCAGTTGTTGGTGCTGATGTCCAGAACCTTACCGCCGAACTGGTGAGTCAGGCGGGTGATGGCATCCAAGTGCTCGTGCTTGTGGCGCAGGGCCTGGCTCTGGGGAAGGTGGCGGGGGTGGTATTGCTGAACGGACTGGGCATCCTGGTGGTGCTTCTGGCTTTCGAGCGAGTCCGGCGAGGTGGTGATCTCGCGGTGGTGCTGGAGCAGCTCCTCGAAGAACTCAGGGCCAAGGATGGAGACCTTGGCAAGGAGCAACTCACGCTGGACGAGAGCGGAGTCGGTGTAGTCCAGAACAGCCCAGACCGGGACGAGGTCGTCCAACTGGCGGCGAGCCTGCTCGACGACGCCGTCCTGGCCCTGAAGGACGATAGTCATGCGCGAGAGGTCCTCAACCTCGGTGTTGCAAACAACTAAACTGTCAATGTTGAAGCCACGGGCAGCCAGAATTCCGGACACACGGGACAGCACACCGGGCTCGTTCTGCACGAGACAGTTCAGGACGTGCCGCTTGGGAGGGTTGCTGGGAGGCACGGGAGTCTCATAGAGAATGGATGAGACAGCAGTGGGAGCATCCCATTGAGGGGAGGCATCGGAGACCGGCAGGGGTAGGGGAGAGCGACGGTGCAATGCCTTGTAGGCAAGAGCTGAAGTCGAGCTCGATGATGCACGAATCGAGGTGAATCGGGGCAGCGCAGCAGCGGTACGAGACCGAGCGGTAGCTGCCGCAGAGGACAGCAGCGACGCTGACCCTGCGGACAGCGTCAATGGGCTCCTGAAAGCCATGGGGTGATCGGGTTCTAAGAGGTTGTGCGATGAATCACTCCAGATTCGCCCCGGTATATTCTTTTTGGTCGGCCGACCTCGGCGACCGCCTGCTGACTCAAGCGGTCCTAGTCCGAAAGCGGTGTAGTGTATGCGGATCAGACTCACGTGATATATATACTCACGTGACCTTGATTTTCAAAACGATCAAAGCAGTGTAAACGAGGTAGCTTTGAGGAGAGGAACATTTAGTATCAGTTGTTTGTCGCGCTGACCCCACGAATCCATCCCACTTAAAACTAAGCTTAGTCGGCAAATTTGCGTTGATTGTCTCGCCTTTCCACCCCGGCGTGTCTCCGCTCCTAAAACTCCTTCCCGCAATTGTTCTGGGCCTTCCGAAGGTTCCTCTGATCGACTTCCCTGCTCTCCTCACCTCACGTACTTCTCAAGATGGCAGAAGAAGAACCTCGAGCCAAACGCTCGCGCTTCGACCAGACTGAGCCTGAGCCCCGACGCTCCCGATTCGATCGTCGCTCGCGATCTCCTTCGAACCGACAGTCGGAATCAACTAGAACCCGCAGCCCATTGAGTCGCCCACTGAGTGGTGAGCCTCGCAGCCCTGGCGCAGGTGCAGCGCAATCATCCGCATTGGATCCGGCCGCTGCAGCAGGTATGTGCCACTTGCTCCGCTGTCATAACCAGACCACACGGCTAACCATTCGGTCTTTATAGCGGCTGCGGCAGCCAAGATTAATGCGCAGCTGCAGGCTAAGAAAGGAATCCAGCATGTCGATGTCCCTCCTATCCGCTCGGTGATTACGTGTCCGCTCTTATACGATTCAAGTCACTGCTAACACCTAGTTATAGACCGAAGGCGGCCCGGCTGATGAATCTGGATCGCCCAATACAGAGGGTGCAGCAAAGTTGAACGCTGAGATCTACGTCGCAGATGGCGATTACATCAAGGATATCGAGATCAATGATCTGCGGAATCGTTACACCCTGACCAAGGGATCCACTCAGAAGATGGTAAATACACCCGTTGTCACTTGCTGATATTCCAGCCATACCTCTCAAAGGAGATGGATATCATGAGTCCCTCATGATTGAACTTCTGTTCCCCTCCTTGTGTGATTGGATGAAGCTTACCCTTCACTTAAAAACATAGCATCCCATCCACCCTCTGTTGCATCTGCTGACCTCCGCCGCGTGATTTATAGATTAAGGATGAAACCGGCGCTGGTACGCCTTCCTATGATGTTGTATACTATACGAAAGAAGTTCTCGCTCACCATTTTTCAAGATGTTACCACGCGCGGCAATTACTACCCGGACAAGAACATGGCCACAGCCGCGGTGAGTGATGCTGTCAATTGTGGGCCAACAGCTGCTAATTCCTGTGACATAGAACCCCCCGCTTTATCTCCATGTCACCAGCACCAACAAGGATGGACTTGAGAAGGCAGTTGCTATTATTGACGACCTCATGCAGAAGGAACTGCCAAACCTAGTCGACGAACGCCGATTCCGTCGCCGGGAGCCCGAACAGGTTGAACGGGATGAGTATGGCCGTGTATGGGACTGTCGCCTCATGATATATCCAGAGAAGACCTGCTAATTATCTACAGCGCAAATGGCCCGATGAGCGCATTCCAATCGACCTTGAGCCAGTGCCCGGCTTCAACCTGCGTGCCCAGGTCGTTGGTCAGGGCGGTGCCTACGTGAAGCACATTCAGCAACAGACCCGATGCCGAGTTCAGATCAAGGGCCGTGGCTCCGGGTTCATTGAGTCGAGCACTGGCCGTGAGAGTGACGAGGCCATGTTCTTACATGTGGCGTGGGTTTAACTTGTTTTTCGTTACTCGTGGGCATTAACTGACGGTTTATATAACAGGGGCCCTGATGCCAACGATGTGCAACAGGCGAAGGAGCTTTGCGAAGACCTCCTGGCCAATGTCAAGGAGCAGTACCAGCGCTTCAAGGATAACCCACCCCAGCACAACTACGGCGGATACGGTAATCGCGGCGGAGACCGGGGCGACCGCTACCACGGTGGTGGAGGTGGATATGGCGGTGGCTACAACAATCGTCAGTCCCAGCAGAACAGCTCTTCTGCCAGCCCGTCAGGACAGGCAACCCCTGCCTCCACCGGTGCTGCTGGAACACCTGGCGCCGACTACAGTGCCCAATATGCCCAGTACTACGGCGCCGACCCTTACGCAGCCTACGGTGGATACCAGAATTACGTGGCGTACTACCAGTACTACATGGCCGCTCAACAGCAACAGCAGGCGCAGGAGGGTGCCGCTCCGCCTCCTCCCCCTGCTGGCGAAGCTCCACCACCACCTCCTGGATCGGGATCTCCCCCTCCCCCACCTCCTGGTGGTCCTCCTGGAGGCAATGGCTACAGCGCGGTATGTTCCCCAAAGAATGACTATCCTAGCTCTCCTTACTGACATATGAAACAGGTCCCCCCGCCTCCTGGACTGTAAGCCAGAAACTGAGGTAGCCCGCGCTACTCTTCTGCGAAATAGTTGCAGTTAAGTTCATTTGATGTTAATTGGCGAATAAAAAGCAATTTCTCGTCGTTCTAATGGGAGGAAGATACGAGCGATCTGATTTATGGAATTTCAACCTTGCATTTTTTGCTAAAGAAGCCCTTCTAGCCTTTTGGTGCTCTCTAACACTGTTGTAATTTTTGATTGTTTAATGCTGGGTAGATCTGAACATTATGTTAACAGTAGCAGTCTCGCCAGTTGCCGTTGGACCCTCTGCTCTGGTTACTTTCACCTGGTTGCTGATCGTTCAACAAGGCTGGGATACAAGATTGTTTCTTTGTTGACCAGATGCCTTAGATGAGGTGTGCCTAGCAGTCCTTTATTGCGTTCTTCTGAATGCCCATAGAAACATGTCCACCGACGCCCCGAGAAATGCAGTGACAACAAGACCGATGAAATGTATAACATGGAAACGGATGAGAAATTAAAATATTACCGGACAAAAGACCATCCTAGCCAATCTGATCATCCGAAATCGGCGTATAGGAGAGACATTTCCGTCTCAGATGCCATCTTTGACCGTCGTTTGGACAATCCGCCCCGACCCTCCTTACAGAAATCACAAGCAAAATCACAAGGCGAAGTCGAGCCAGCAGGCGCAGGCGTGGAAGGCGGCAACTGCGAGCCCAGTTCTTCCAGCTCGAAATCACCAAAGAACTCTTTAATAAGCTCATGTCGACACCGAGTTATACTCTCACAGTATCGAATCACCTTCCCAAAACTTTCAAGCTTCGCCTCTCTGTTTTCAAGGCCATTCCTACGGTGATGCTCAGTGTCACGGTATATGAATTTCTGCACACGGTCCCGCTCAGGGAGACCATAGTAAACAATAGACGCAGCAGCACAGCCGTCCCGACCTGCACGGCCTGATTCCTGGACAAAGCTCTCGAAACTTGACGGTGGTGTCCAGTGGACGACGAAGCGGACGTTCGGGTTGTCGATTCCCATGCCGAAGGCATTCGTTGCCACAATGATAGAGAAGGTAGGTGGCTTTTTACCCTCTGCCGATGGCTGGACAGGATGTGGCGCTTTCCACCTTTCTTGTATCCGGGACCGGTTCTCTGCTTCGAGACCGGCGTGGTATGGAACTGCGGAGATCGTCTCATCCGAGGATAGTCGAGCTGCCAAATGTTCGGCCAAGGCGCGCGTTCCCACGTACACAATACCTGAAAGCGGTGGGAGCTGTGCTACTTCCTCGGCACCGAGCCGGGCTTCTCGCCGCGTGCGGATGGCTCTGAGCCATTTTAAGATGTTTGAAAGCTGGCTGTCTTCGGCGCCACTGTAGTCATCGGCGAAGTCTTCGAGGTATCGGACCTCGTAATGGATATTTGGTCGAGCCGATGGCGTGTTGAAGAGTTTGAGGCGGGTTACGTCTAGTCCTAGGATGTCGATGATATCTGAGCGAACTCGGGGTGTGGCGGTTGCAGTCACGGCGGTTATAGGTACGGGTGGATTGATGAGGTTCTTTCTGAGCCAGCTCAGCTCTTTGTATGCAGGGCGGAAGTCGTGCCCCCATTGACTGATGCAATGTGCTTCGTCAATTGCAATTCGGATTAGCTGTCCTTGTTTGTGGACGACTAGTAGTTGGCGGCGGAAATGCTCTGTTGCGCACAATTCTGGCGTGACGTATAAAAGCCGTGTCCCGGGGTGGCCGCAGAGCATGTCTTGTAGTACTCGCTTTTTCTCTGGCTGTGGGGTGTTTGAGTTTATTGTTTCCACAGATATGCCGAGAGCTTTCAAGGCGTTAACTTGATCAACCTGTCAAGAATTAGTTGATTGAAAACAACCTTGGAGCAGTTTAAACAGTTACTCACCATCAATGCCAGAAGCGGGCTCACAACAATTGTTACTGTAGTCAAAGTCAGTTCACCGTCTGATGTCTTTGAAGCGCCGAATGATATAAAATGCAATACTCACAGCCCCAATCTTTTAACACTGCGGGAAGCTGGTAGCATAAACTTTTCCCGAAGGAAGTCGATGCTTGCAGAAAGACATCGTGGCCTTCAATAACGGCCACAATCACATCTCGTTGTAAAGGACTATAAGTAGTGAGGTCAGACGTGCCCTCTTGTACGACCCGGTACATGGTCAACCAACCGGAAATCATTCTTGCGAAAAGTGTTTTGAAGGCACCAGCGCATGTTTGCCGTTTGGCGGGTGAGCGCTGGATTGTGCCCCATTGCTCATCATAGCAAAGAAAACAAGGGTGGAAGGATAGATTGGCAGCATCATTGCTTGACGGTCGAGTCTTCAAGCGCGTGCCAGACAGACGCGGTGTCACGTGCCGACGTCTTACTTCCTAGTTGGGATTGATTGAATGGACTCTCGCTTTGACCGTGCAGCGTCTAACACTCTTCTCAGCTGAGTGTGGTATAATCGATTATATGCATCCATTTCCGGAGATTATTGGTATAAATTATACATTTGTGCAAAAGAATCGCTAGAAATGGGGTACCTATGAAAAAAGTAATGTACAAGCGCTGATTCACATTTCAGCTGACTTTGAATCTCAGTCCTTCCGGTGCGGATTCCTTGACATCTGTTTATCAAGTTCTTCCTTTATGGCAAGGACGTCAATCGCTCTGCGATGCTGAGGATGCCAGAGCCGCTCGAGTTGCAGCCAAACATCCAGGACCTCTTTGGGGCCACAGCATGTTCCAAATGCTCGTAGGATAATGGTGATCATGCGACGCCCGATGAAAACACCATTTTCAACGCGACGATCGATGTGCTGTCTAGGATCAGACTCAGAATGGGAGCGTGGCCTGAACACTTCGTCGAGTTCATCTTGAGACATAAAGTCATCATGTTCATCTGGGATAGACTCCGATTGGCCTGACTCGAGAGCCTCGGGATCAGGGTCTTGTGTGGTAGAGGGCTCGGCCTTTTTCTCGCCTTCCTGTGGCTGCTCCGCAACGCTGGGCTCTCCGTCTGCTGATGGCAAAGACATATATAGTCCATCGGGAGAATCGCTCACTGGCAGCTCTTCTTCCATGTCGATTTCCACAGTCTGAGCAAGTGGGTTCTCCCATGCATTCTTGCGACTATTCAGGTATAGTCCACGAAGTCTTGCATTCGAGTCGTGTAAAGCCCGAATGTATGCGTGCCAGGTCAACCGGAGATTTTCCGGGGTCCATTGCTTTTTCTTCCGACCATGGATGGCAAATCCTTCAAAGAGGAAGAGATAGATGATGCCGCGTGGGGGGACCTTGAAGGTCTTTTCCATGTCACCTACAACAGCCATGAAACAGTCCAGCTGACCAGATGTGTAGGCGTAGTGTCGTAGGAAGATGTAGAAAGTCCGCGTGTCGGGTGACAGAGAGAGAGAGTCCTGAAGAGCACGGTGATATTCAGGATACTGCCGTTTGAGGGCCAAGGACTTCTTTAACACACGGCCTAACTTTTTTGTTTTTTGTCGATATTCTGGCATGTTGTAGGTCAAGTCCGCAGCGCCAGATCGAACCAATGCTCCGTCTTCGGAATTGCGATTGGCGTTGCGTTCACTTTGCTGCTTTTCTAGCATGCGTGCGTACAGCTGTTCTGCTGTTTGCCGCTCGCCAGCCTGCAGGAAAGAAGCGATCAGGCAGTTCATGACAACCGTGTCGACGATCTCCCCGGATTGCACGAAGTCATCAAATGTTCTTCGAATGCCTTCTGCATCCCGGATCATGCCATAATAGTAAATCTTGGAGACCTTTCCGCAGCGCGAGAAGCCCATGCCCCGCTTGACCATCTCCTGCTCTAGCCGATTCGCAACTGAAAATTGACCAGCTTTGATGGCGATGTCGAATAGGATGTTGAAGACCACTTCGTCAGCTTGCACACCAGCAACATGTTCCATCTGCTGCCACAGGCCAATAGCTCGGATAAGGTCTTTCTTCAAAACCGTGCCATTCGCTCGGCCAGCTAGGTGGATGGCAGAAGACCAGAGTGAGAGGGATACAGGAAGCCCGGCGAGTACCATGTCCTCCACCAAGGCCAAGTAGCGACGAGCATCTACCCATCGCCGGTCTCGCGGATTCGCAAACCGACGCAACAGGGCACCGCGGGTCCGCTTCGAGAGTAATGTGATACCTGGAGCAGGAAGCTCTCTGTATAATCGAAAAAGGTATTGAGTGGAAGCATTTCTTTCTTGCCACAATGTGGTGACAAGCTCAGCAACTGCCCGGCTCTCGGTTTCATCACGCGACACATCCTTCGTCATTTTGTTAAATTGCTGATAGGACGCCACAGCATTTGCTGCTCGTTCCCAGTCATGATCGGCCAATAGTTTCCGATACAACGTCAATGTAGACAAGTATCTCTCTTTGTCGGGACTCAGATATGGTGGAGGTGTTTCAAGAAACTGGCCGTCTGTTTCCGTGAATTCAAGGCCAGGATCGAATGATTCGTTATTCGACTGTGTTATATGGTTGTGATCTCGTTTCGAGTCTTGTCTGTGGTGCTGTTTTTGTGGTTTCCTATCCGCAGTCTCGGTCAACCACAAGGGTATATAATCGTTGTCTTCCTCCGCTTCCTCCGGCGATCTCGTATTGGTTTCTCTTCCTCCTTCTTCCACACTATAGTCATTCGTACGCGCCAGTCCGTTGCTGATCAATCTTTTCGGTTGCGACAGTTGCAACCTGGAGCTTGAATACTCCGGTTGGGTTTGGGATAGCTGTCCATGACTAGTCACCCCTTTGCCTCGAATACTTTGTAGATTGCGGTATGGGGGACTCCAGGATATTGTCGCAAACCCTCGGCGGCGCGGTGAATGTTCATGGCAGAAGCTTGCCAGAACCAGCGAGCCGACAAAAATATCTGCTATTGACGCGACGGACGGACGTGGACGGCGAGAACAGATTCTTCGAACGGAGTTGCGAGAGGAGGGAGTAGGAGACATTGGGGTTCGGAAGGAAGGAAGCTCATCCAAGGCCTGCCGGTGGTGATTTCGCAGGCCCGGTGAGCTGGGGGATCTATTGAGGTGAGGCATGAGATGGCAGACATCATGGCATTGAATAGGCCTCGCGCATCCAAAAGAGTGCCGTTAGCCACTCGCACGGCAAGGTGTCGACCAATGCTGAGCACTTGAAGCAAACAGCCAAAGGAAAAGAGTGACAAGCTGGACGGAAGAGGTGTTTTTCTGAAGATGAACGGGCTTGCAACTTTCTGGCCTGGCGGAGCCGCCATCGACCAATCGGAGCCCGCGTTTGCCAATCCCATCTTTTTCGCTCCCGCAACCTCCTTCGCTCTCATTGACTTACTTCCTTCCAGCAATATCTCTTTGGTCTGGATCATTGCGGTCGTGTTAGATTGCAATGGGCAAAATCAACCTCACAGCCCTGCGGGTGCGACAAACCGCGCTCAACCAATTCGCCAGTGGCAAGACCAGCAACCTGCCACAATGGGTCGACGTCGTTGGCGATATCCCTCCTGCTGAGACCCTCATCCGTACCCGTCCTTCTCAGCACCAGCTTGTTCAACAGCGCCTGAAGACTATTACTGGATCCACGAAGCCGCAGGTCGTCTTCGAAGTTCAAGAGAAGCGCAGGAAACCCAAAAAGCCCAGCCGTACCTTCATGCCCGTCGAGCTCAAATACGAAGAGGATCAATTGCGAACCGAATTTTTCCGTGACCACCCTTGGGAACTTGCTCGACCACGTGTGCTGCTCGAAAGCACCGGTAAGGACTTCGAACACTACGATTGGAGCCGCATTGAACAGCCCGGCAAGCGGTTAGATGGTGAAAGGTCAGTTCGTTTTGTGGTTGTTCCTTCAAAACTTCAACCATACGGCTGCCCTCTGTAGGTTGGGAATTACCGATTCTAACGTGTCATGTTGCAGTGTTGTCCAGCGACAGCTATGGCTATTGCACAACGTCCCGGATATCAGCAAAAGTACCGCCTACGACATTGCTCGTCGAGAATTCTACCGACTTCGACTGAGGGAAGATATCCAGCGGCGCGTTGCCGCCGAGGAGGCAGCTGCTTACGGCGCAGAATTCGGACCATCATACATGGACATTGGTATGAAGCAGGAGAGCGAACAATACGACAAATGGGTTGCCTGGGCTCGTAACCAGGCTCAAATTATGGGCCAGCGGACAGCAGCTCTCAGTGGTGCCCCAGAGCTGGCGACTGAGTCCACTGAGACCGATGTAGTCGAGGCCGATGAGAGCGACGAAGTGGCCACTCAGTAAGGGTCTGATACGAGGGGATTGGACTCGGGTTATGCTACCTGTCTTTTTGTGGGAGCAGCTGGCCAAGTCCTTCATATTGATTGTCCATGTACATTATTTGATCTTATTTACGCGATAGCACAAGCATTTACTTTACCTTCAATTGCTTTAACTCTTCAAGCACAGGTTGTCTAAACAATCTAGTGTTGTTAGGCAAATATATAGTCCAGAATATCGTCTATAATCCCATTTAACCCTACTTAGGAACAGGCGAGCATAGTCAATGGGCTGGCGCAGCTCTGATGTGTTTCATCCAATCAGAGGATTTCCAGCCTCACCAACTTCAATGTTTCATTCCCTTGACTCGACATTCAGACATTCAGACATTCAAACATCCAAACTCCAAACTCGTGGGCTTTTGGGATCTTCAGATAGATCCATCGATCCCTCCTGCGGCATTCCTCGACCTAGTTTTCCCCCGTTTCTTTATCGCCTTCGCGGGGATCCGAGCTCCGTTGCACAGCTTCCCTCTCGAACCAGTCTCGCAGCTTGCCAGCTCCAATTCACTCGGCTCGACTTTCCTCTCATCCCTTTATTCTTCCTATCGCCTCGAGGCTCACTTTTAGATTCGCGTTGCCGAGATAGCCGTCCCCTCGATACGACAGTCGACGATGCTTTACCCAAGTACCCGAAACACCCTCGCATTTTAAAGGTCGGCCTGCTAGGAAATAAATCTCGATTGGTGGCGCATCGACTACTTCACGAAACAGCCGCATTGTGCGTGCCTGATCGACAACTTTTGGCTTCTACTAGCCATGACATCCGCGATGACTCGTCCGGAGGACACAGTGCGCGGGCTGCGCTTGTACCGCGGTGACGCGGAAGATGATGAGACGGAATCTGGACCGTCGGATTCAGGAAGCTCGCTGCCACTATCACAAAATGAGGGTTCTCCATACCCTGACGACGAAGGCAGTCGCCCAGGCACCTCTTTAGGGGACTACTCGGAGAATAGCAGACAACCGGCTGGTCCGAAAATGCTTTCCCACGAAGAGACGATTGAGCTGGCACGGCGCGCTGTGGAAAGCGGGATTCAAGATACCAAGCGTTCCCTGGCCGGTAGCGAGGCCGTCACGGATGTGGTCAAGCCGAAACTGACTATTGACCTGGGCCATTCACATATCGTTCGCATGCCTGAGCCTGTGGTGGATATAATCAAAGATGAGGTCGAAAGGTATGTCGAAGCCCTAACTTGGGACGCTCAAGTCTTCGAGCGTTGCCGTGCCTAGTACCAGGATACGGCGCACCGGTTGGGATTCCACTAACTTTTGAAGGCTCTCCCTCTCCAATAACTATCTCTTCCATATACCGTACCGCTTCGCAGAGTGCTTGCATCTTCGTTATCTCAATATCAGAGCGAACAACTTCCGTGAATTCCCCAAAGGAGTATGTGCTCTGTCGATGATTTTCTTTGTGCTTCAGATTCTAACCCTACTAGATCTACAAACTGCCATTGCTGGAGATACTCGACCTGAGTCGAAACAAAATTAAGGAAATTCCAGATGAAATCAGCAAACTAAAATCCTTGCGAGTGCTCTCGGTTATGCAAAATCGCCTCGAAGACCTGCCAGTTGGGCTCTCCGAGATGCCCAAGCTTCAAGTTATCAAGTGTGCCGGAAATCCTCTGCGGGCTCCGCTGCGCGCCATATTGGAAGAAACCGAGGCTGAGATGGCAGAATCTGGGATGACTGACAATGAGAAAGAAGTCGCATCTACAGCAGAGCTCAAAAGAGGGTTGAAAGCTCGACTTACGGCTACTACACCCGAGCCAGAAGTCATTGCTGACTCAGGGTATGTCTACACAATGATCTGGAATATGACGAAGTAAGCTAAGACTTTGCAGAGATGGCATTATGGATGCATTCAGGCCAGCTCCTTCAAAACGGAGACCGAGTGCCCGATTCCCTGTTATCCCCAGCACCGGTGATAGTTCGGCCGCCTCTTCTCGATCTCCATCCATCTCAAGACCACCTCCCATCCCTGCAAAATCACACTATCGCATGGCTTCTGGGCAACAAGGCGCTACTTACCACATGCCCGGTCTTCAAAGACCCGGCGTGGCTCCTCATACCGTGAATGAACGCAACCGAAGCAACAGTGAAGGTATCATTCAAGGATCCTCCGCTGCTCGAAGCAAAAGGATGGGTGTCATTACTCGCAAGAACACTGATTTAGGTACACTGGATGAAACACGTCCCTACAGAAACAGCCATCTACGCGGTCTCAGTCATGGTTCTGTACTTCGACCTCGTCCGGCTCCGCCGACTCCTGTCAGCGGCAGCAGTTCTTCAAGTCCCAGTAGCCCACGGGAGCGTCGACGTGTCCGAGAAGGCTGGGTCAATCGGATGTCTAGCCTGCCCGAGCACAAGGGAGAGCGAGGATCGGATGAGCCAATCATTAGGGGAGCGAAAGGCATTCTGTTTGCTCTCTTCCAGGTTCATTCCCATATCTCCACATTGATCAATGTGATCAAGCGTGATGACACCAGACGCCACAGCCTTGAACTTGTATTTCACAATGCCTCCTCGCACGTTGAACGCCTCAACAGTGCTCTCGAGAGTGCTGAAGTTGCGTTGCTCGAAGACCCTGGTTCGATTGCATCTGTCACGGAGACCGTCAAACGTGAATGCGAGACTTGCATCGTTGCTTACACGCACGTCGGCACGCAGCTACGCAACAGCTCTGCCAAGATTGTCGCCAACGGCGATCCCCGTTACGTGAGATCGCTGATGCTTATGATGTTTGGCAGCCTTGTTGAACTGCGAAATGCTTGTACCATTCTGGAAGCTCCGATCCAAATGATCAACAAGCGTGCCTCTGCTACAAAGCGCCTAGCTCCTGCCAATGCTCTCACCTCCATGCCCAGTCGGTCTCAGCCCTCGCTTGTTACTCCAACAAGAGATCATGCTCCCCCGACACGACGATTGCGAAGCGACACAACGATTCGTCATCCTCAATTCCCCATGGCCATGACATCTAGCCACAACGGCACCAATTCTCCCAGTTTCTCGACGCCTACTTTCACCAGTTTCTCGCGCAGCCGCTCTAGCAGTCGGTCAAACTTGATCAACTCGTCTATACCACACTCCTTAGCAACCCCTCGCTCGGGCGAAACCTTCCCTCCTATTCCTGCTTCTGGTACTCCTCGTATCAGTACATTGACTGGGCTGGACGAGAACGAAGAGGAGCGAATTTTCGAGAAGATCTTCCACCAGCTTACCTCTGCATATACAGCTGCATTTGGGGCTCTCCCTTTGGCCCGCCGGCAATTCAACCGCTGCTTGGAAATGGCCCAACAATCACGGTCCCCTGAGGGAATTCAAATGGTCTGGACCAACCTCATTCGTCGATGCCGATCTTGCCAGGAAGTCTCGGAGGCTCTAGGACAGCGTCTGTCGACCATGAAACTCAAAGAACCAGGTGGTGGGCTCCGCAACCAACGCGAGTTCTGGCAGCTCTGCAAAACATTTATGCAAGCCTTCGTCGACCTAGTGACCGATCTGCGCGAGGTCAAAAACATGCAGCTCCTCCCACAAGACGTCGTCATCATCCTACGCCCAGTTCAGAAGGCAAGCCGCGAAGCAGGTCGCCTGATTGAGGTATCTCCTTGGGCCTATTTTGCGGACATGGCCACAAAGGACACCCCTGGTGGTGCTTTGTACGGACCTCCCCTGCAGGCCCCGCACTCGCAACATCAAACTTCCGTTTCTACATCTGCCATTACATCCCACCCCTCTTATCATCTCAATACGACCGTCCCACAGTCCGTCACTGTTCCTGCCACTCCGCTGAGCGCGGCTCTTGGTCCTGCTGCGCAGGCCACCGTCCCATCCACACCAGCAAGTGCATACAGCGACAAGTTCTTCGAGGGCGATGTCTTCCAACGTGCCGACTCACTTCTCTCAATGCCAAACCAAGCGCCTTTCTTCCGCCGCTAAGTGGCTTTCATATTTTCCGAAGTATCTGGAAGAAACCGTTTGTTTCTCCATGCATCATGATTGTGCATGCTCAATCTTATCTGCATCTTATGATTATGACTTGGCGCAATTTATCATGCATCCTTGGGTACCAGTGAATATTATTAGCTGGTCTGAATCTTCCCCGTCCTTGTTTTGGCGACTTCATATCTCGATATTTACTCTTTTCCTTCTTTGAATTAGCGAGTTGATATCTTTCGGCAGGTCGAATTCTTTCTGACCAATTGAATATCTTTATCTGTTTCAAGACCCTAAGTACTATAAAATGTTTCTTCTTTTACAAATGTACCTTATGCACTAAATTGGTGGATGGAACGAGCTTAATGTGAGCGGCAGTAGAGCAACTCTCGATCCTCTACTGGCTCCTATTTACCGCAGCTTTCATAAAAAGCTGATACGGCAACGTTAAGTGGTACTCCCTATGGGATCCTACCTTCCTCGTCACTATCCATTTCATTCAGCTCACAGGGTACACAATTCAATAATGATTCAAGAACAATCTAGATCACCCATATTCTATCATTCCTTTGATCGTTTATCTAGCGTGGTATAAATCAAGTCAGCTTCAACTTTCTCTTAGGTCTTTGATATGTGTATAGCATGTTCTCCGTAAAGGCTTTCGGACGATGTCGACAGAATGATACATCATTTGGGAGAATCACTTAAAGCAGTATGATCTCCAAATTCAGGAAGGGTTTTCGTCATTTGCCTTATGTTCCATTCTATGGAACAAATGGCAAGGGATGGAATCAATACATACCATTGGGCTCTGTTGAGTGAATATATATCGTGACTTTCGACGATGATAGTACGACTTGAAACTGTAGATTTCATTTCTAAAGATGATTTACATCGCGTCTTTTGATTGATATATATCTCATTTCTCAAGTTGGTTCTTATTATTGACATCTGGATCAACAATATCATTGCCCCGTATTACTCTGCTCCATGAAGACCTCCTGATCAAACCACCCACACTACGTATACCTTTCTCAAAAAGATACACTCATAATTAACACAATGTGCATACATCTATTGCAATAGTTACTCATAATTACTTAGTGTCTAGTCGCTCGTTGTAAACTGGGGTAACCATGAGCCAAAATGAGTCATGATGCATCAATATGAGGGGTTGTCCAGGTGTATTAATAAACAGCCGAGGATTAGACAATAAATATATAATCTTGTTTGCAACTTCACTAGCTGTTCTATTATTCCATCGAGTTTGTAGGGGCGGGAATAAACTAATAGAGTTACTGTCGACCATTAGGTTATTCGGACTGAGACCATGTTGAGGCATCTGCATAGGATGTCGGTCAGATATTATATGTCTGGTTACTTGACGCTTATTGTGTCTCTCTGAGTTTGACACAATATAACTTGATAGACTAAGTAATGTTTTGATTTCCTTTATTATGATGATTTCGGATAAGTTGAGCTAAGTTAACTCCTCCTGACTTATACAGACTAAACAACAAACAACAAGATCCCCTTGCGGATAAAAATCTACAGTATGCAATCCCACGGTAATATCCGCAGACGTAAATACTTCAGAACAGCCAAAGAAAGAACATTGTATAAGCGGGAACGAATGTTGCAAGGGATAAGAGTCGCCGGATGTTGATCGCGGATCGCGCACGGACCAGGCACCGTTCGCGTTCGGCGGTTTCAGACTTGAACTACAACGCTGCAACTGGTAGACGGAAATGGTGTAGATATTCGATTGAATGTTCTCAGACATCTGGTTGAACTATAAGCAGAAAAAAAGAAAACTCAAATCAGAATACAAGCGCCAGTCTATAACCCAAAATGTCAATCCAACACCAAGAACCCCTTGCCAATAGGCAGTATAACGAACGCCTTCCACAGTAAACGCCTGTGGATGAGAAGACCCTCCAAAAATGCAAGTGCAGGACGGGACGCTGAAGAGCAAGTCAAACAAGACACTTGAAGCAAATAGAACAATTAGTAAAGGAAAGCAAGCAAGCAAGCAGTAAACAAAAGTAAGCAGATTATATCAACGCAGGAGCAAGATCAGCCATTGTAATCTCATCACGGAGATACAACAACGGAGCCCAGACACGCCAGTGCAAGACGCCCATATGGGCAAGACGCATGCCAATACGCTCGATATCAGAAACCTGCGGTGTAAGCTGCTGCGACGAAGGACCCGCAGATCCAGATACCGCAGGCGCAGAAGAAGAACTTCCGGGAACAGGACCCGAAGACGATGGCGGGGTGCGCTGTGATTCGCAGATGGCCAATGGCGACAAGGGCAGATACCTGCGAGCAGAGGCCAACGTAGTATCGAGGACCTTTCCGCGCATACTATTCTGGAAATAGCGGAAGAGATCGGATTCATTGGATAGGTGCCACTCCAGCGCTTCCTCAATTGGGGCAATGACCTCGTCGGCGACGACGGCGTCGAGTTGCAATGCTGCACAGGCGAAGCGGGCGATTTCCAGGGCGATGCAACGCATATTTTGGGTCCAGCGCTTGCCACCGCGGTGGTCTGGGTCGTCGTCGTTGGCGACTGGGTTACTGGCGATGCGGCTTTCCATGTCTATTCCGTCTTCCATCAGGGACCAGATGCGCGTGCGGAAGGTGGAGTAGGTTTCCTCTGGGGCGGAGAGGTACCGCTTGTGCTTGTTGACGTAGGCCTCGAAGATGTACCAGGCGATGTCGAGGTTGATTAGGTTTTGGATTGTTGAGCGGAGTTGCCAGAGGCGTTCGCTGTCGAAGAGGAAGGTTTCGGGGAACTCATCTGGTGGGTTGAATTGGAGGAGCTGGTCGGTTATGCCGCGGAAGAGCGCTTCGATGGGCTTGAGGGCGTCTTCTGTTTCGGATGTTGCCGTATTCTGGGGTTGGGTTTGGTTCTTTTGCGCGTCTTCTTGCTGGGCTCGGTCTCGCACTGCTAGGTACCAATGGCGGGCGGGCTCGACATGGAAATTTCCCCGGTTGATTTTGCCTTGGAAGTATTCTTGAAGGAATGGCACGGTGTCTTCGATTAGGAGAACGCGGAACGCGCGGATTTGGTGGTTGGCCACATCCTGGGAGACATGAGTTAGTTATGATATACTATGAGACTACTCGGAACCTACCAGTTTCATTGCTTCCAAGATGGAGAACAATGTTTGTAACCCATTGACAATCTCCCGCGGATCTTGTGACTGTGATCCTTCTTGGATCTGCTCAACCATGCGATCTGCCCACTCGTCTCGCATAGGAGCACAGTGTGTCTTGAGAAGTGCAGCCAACCACGTTGCCAAGGTGAGCATATCAAGAACACCCTTGCGTATTTGCTGCATGAGCAACGGAACCTCTAGATTCTGCATGACAGTTGGATGATCCCGCTCTGGAACAAGGGTTTTGATGACATCCTGCAACGTCTCGAACAAGGCGGGCAAACGGGGGTCGAAGGTGCGTCGGGAACCGTCAGTCGACACGACTTCCTCGATACTGATATCGGCAGTGGCAGCACGGAAGGAGTAAATTGCGATCTCCAAGGCCAGTGAGTCCCAGTAGTCTGCAGCTTCCTTCTTCTTGCGTTTGCCTTTCTCCCCGTCTAGATCGGGCTTGAAGTGCAAATCGCGGTCGAAGTTGGCGTCCATGCGAAGGTTGATGTTGCTCATTATACAAGGCAGGTCGAGCTCGCTGAGCGTTTTCTTCGTGACCGGCGGAGACCTCCGTGCCTTGCGCAATAGCCGCTGCTCGCGGGAACTTAGTCCCAATGCTTGCGGTATACCGATAGCTTCCGGTGATGGCGAAGGCTCTCGTTGCCGAGTCACGGCAGACGATGCCGTTTGTTGTGAGCCGTGCGGATATGCGAATGGTTGTTGACGACGACGGAGAGGATGAATCGAAGCTCGATCATCATGGTTGTGAGAATCTCGCCTCTCGTTCTTGCGATACTCTTTTGAACGACTTTTTCCACCGCCATAGGCCTCGAGGGGCCCTTCAGCGCCCTCCTCCTGCGTCCGGGCCTCCTTTGTGCCCTGTAGATCCATGTTTAGACACGAGACGTCCCTACTCGGGGTGTCAGATAAATGAAGATTCCGGCAATGACAAGGCCACACCAAGCACCAAACGAAGGCGCAGACCAGACCCCTATGCAACTCACAAGGTTAGAAGCCCCCTGTTTGCCTGAGGCAGGCAGCCAATCCGCAGCCACCGAAAAGTGATGCAAGTGAGCTGTCAATTGCGGTGGAGCCGAGGATAGCTTGGTTCTGCAGCGATTGCCTCGTGGTCCAGGGGCGAAATTAGTTTTAAAAAATAATAATAAAGAAGAGTCGTGGTGAAGAATAAAGAATAAAAAATATAGGGGATTAAGCGCGTATAGTTAAAACACAGGTCTCAGGTGATTAAAGACCAAGAAAATAGCAGAACTTTCAGGGCAAACAATAGCCCAGGTCTCGAGAACAAATCAAAGCAGAAAAAAAGAAAAGAAAAGAGAGAAAAAAGGAGCGATTGGCAAAGCGACCGGGATGCACAGATATAGTCAGTGTCCCCCAGACACCGGATTCGGGTGGACGCAACCAGTTCTGCGCATTCCTCTGCTGTTACCCGCACACATCGAGACTGGACTGGTTTATTTGGGCGATTGCATTAGATCGTCGCATCGGATCTGATGTGTTTTCATGTAACTCGATCTGGTCGGGGAAAGGGGCAAATCCGCCTCACTTTGAAAGTGAAACCAGTGCATTGGCCACGTGAGTCTCCTATTTGCATACTGGATGCAGTCGGTTTGCAGGAGGATTTGTTGACCTCTGCAATCTTGCAATGACAGTGTATCGAATGGTTAACTGATCGAGTGATCGACTCGAGAGTCCACGAGTGTATCGAGGAGTGAAGCATCGGGTGGCTCGTCGGGATTGGAATGTTTTCGGGTTTGGCCTGAGAAATCTGGCCTGACATCCCTTCCTGACTTCTATACTTCCCACTGCAATCTCGGCTTCTATTTCGGCTGCTATTCGGTTGCTATTTCGACTTGTTCTGTTTCAATCATTGAGACACTACTGCAGAGAGCAGCAATGAACTCACTACGCTTGAGCCTCCCGATCACCGGGACTGAATCAGCCCTATTGACGCCTGAATCAGGAACCACTCAATAACATCCGCCTCAATAACCTCATGTCTCAAAGAATGCAGATAAAAAGGATGTTTTCCACGTGGAGTCTCTTTCCCATGTGCTTTCTATCTTTTCTAGAACTTCATACTCTATCCTGGGAATCGTTGATCGCCAAACTACCTGTGGTTGTTATCTCCGATCATGAATATCGCGGCATTGCTATACTTCCTGAATGTCATACGGGCCACCCCGGCATTTGTATTCTCTAGGGCCACTCGATCATATGGTATTTCCCGATTCGAAGTACATTCTTTACCGGATAGTCCTGCGCTGCCAGCCAGTTGGGCTGGTCGACTTCCGGTTCCGGGCAGAGCGGATGGGAATGATATCTTCTTTTGGCTGTTTCAAGCAGAGCAAGCGGTATACAGTGATAATTTGATCAGTACGTCAAATTGGAAAACACACAAAATACGCATACTAACGATATATAGTTTGGTTCAATGGCGGCCCTGGCTGTTCATCTTTGATAGGGCTTACGACCGGCAATGGCCCCATCTTGTTTGATGGCAACTCGACCAAGCTCGTTCGCAATCCGAAATCGTGGACTAAACTCGGCAATGTTTTGTATGTCGATCAACCAGTCGGAACAGGCTTCTCAACAGCCAGTTTCCCCTACCCGGTCAAAGACAATGCCAGAGTGTCGGCCGACTTTGCACGCTGGCTACATGCCTTCTTCATGCACTTCCCACACCTTGCATCGAAGCAAATACATCTAATGGGCGAGTCATATGCCGGTATCTACATACCATACTTCGCATCGGAACTCCTTAATGGCAAGAACACACTACCACTGGACGTGCGGTCAATGTCTCTCGGTGATGGCTCATGGGGCAACGGAGCAGCCATGTCATCCGTCGCAATGGGAGCCTATCTAAGATCCCAATCATCACTTCTCAACATTCCCGAGAACATCCTGTCAGTCTTCGACGAAGCAGACGAAACCTGCGGGTTCAACGATGTGCTCGAGCAATCCGCAATCTACCCACCAAATCACAAAATCCACATCCCAGGTAACCCAGAGTACTTCAACTTGAAGCGCCGCCGCCGCAGAGACATGACAGACGCCCTAAATTCAACATGCAACATCTTCGCAACAACCCCAGCCGAAGTCCGCGCCTCAATCTTCAACTCGACCTGCTACGGCCCCTGCGCTGCCCACTCAACAGCTATGGACTACATGACAACAACGTCCGACGACGGCTCCAGAAAACCAGCCTGCTACGACGTCTACGACATCAGCCACGACTGCAGCACTGTCTCCCCATTGCCATTGTTAGCAGAGTACTTCAGTCGCGCCGACGTCCAGTCCGCTCTACACGTCAGCAACAGCGGCACGTATGAAGCGTGTAACCCGACTATTCTGGGTACACTCCTCGCGGCGGAATCCCCTGTTCCACCAGAGTACTCTATCATCCCGTCTCTGATTACCGAACATAATGTCTCGCTACATATCTACAGTGGAGAGTGGGATATGTTGATCAATCACATTGGCACCGAGTTGTCGATTCAGAATATGACGTGGCGTGGTGCGCAGGGTTTCTCGCGGAAACCGAGTCGACCGTTTTATCCTGATAATGCGGCGCCTTCTTCGACTATCAACCCGATGGCAATGTTGGCTGCTGCTACTACTACTCTCTCGACTATTGCGGCTACTGCTGTTCCTGCTGGTACGTGGACTATGGAGCGTGGTGTGTCGTATCACCTTTTCCGTGGGGCGGGACACAGTGTTTTTGTCAATAAGCCAAGGGAGATGTTTGCGTTTGTGAGGGATGTGGTTGTTGCTCCGAGGAGCGATTGAGGTTGGGGGATCAGGGCTGCTGTACCTGTGGATATTTGGTAGACTGGATGGGCAGAGGGGCGCTTTAGATGGGTTTCGGGGTTTCGTTTTTTATTATTTTTTATCTTGTTATTTATCTCCCTTCAGCTTCTTTTCTTATTGGGATGAAGTAGTGGACGGTCTCTGCAGGAAACCAAACCACGAAGCGAATAACTGTTACCATTTAAAACGTTGTTTTCGCACTAATTTGGCCTCTCTTTTCTTCCCCTCTTTTCGCTCATCCTCAGTGCCTCAGGTTGTAGTTGTTTAAAAATGGTGGGTTAATCATATACAAGGGGGGTGTGAAAGGACTTATGGCCTAAGTCTGTATTTCTTTTTCACTTCCACTCATAGGCGCCGAGGCAACGGCGACTACCGGAGAAGAAATCTTGAGTTAGTTGTCGGGTAGATTGGCATACAACTCGGGGCGACGGCGCGCGACGGCCAACGTTGTTAGTAGTCTTGGCTTGTCTTGGCTTGCAGATAACGCGGCCCACTCTCATTTGTAAATTCAATGACGGAGGTATGTATTGATATCGGACAGCTTCGGAGGGTTCATAGACATATATAGGGATATTTGAAGCTATATAGATCCCGCTTTATCTATCTTGGATGTGAACAAATAATAGAACCACACTAACTCTATTTAGTTTCATTGGTCAGTGTATATTCCCAAATGTTGATATCGTTTGACTGACAACTTGAGATTGTATAGATCCTCCCAATGACACAAAAACACTCCACCGGAGGCGAGGAACAGCCTCTTACTATTTCTCAATGGCGTGAATTACAAGAAACTGTTTCCGAGCCAACGCACATTTTGTCGCTGCTCGAGCGAGCACAACCAAACACATCAAATGCATGGATCTCATTAGCAACACCTGAACAAATCATCACACAGTGGAAGAATATCACAGCACTTCAATCCGAAGGGAGAGATCTTCCATTATTCGGCGTGCCATTTGCCGCCAAGGATAACATCGACGCCGCTGGGTTTTGCACAACGGCCGCATGCCCATCATTTGGCTCTGAGCCTGTCATCACCGATTCAACCGTTGTCCAACGATTGAAATCGCAAGGAGCCATTATAATTGGCAAGACCAACCTGGATCAATTTGCCACCGGTCTCGTCGGTACCCGATCACCGTATGGAGCCGTTGCCAATACTTTCGATCCAAAGCGAGTCAGCGGCGGAAGCAGCTCCGGGAGCAGCGTAGTCGTTGCTCAGGGACTAGTTCCTTTCTCTCTTGGAACAGATACAGCAGGGTCAGGACGGGTACCTGCTGGCTTCAATAATCTTGTTGGACTCAAGCCCACGCGAGGGGCTTTGAGTGCACATGGCGTGGTACCAGCATGCCGCTCACTTGATTGTGTTTCCATCTTCGCCTTGACGCTAGAAGATGCAGACCTCATCCTGCAACTGGCCGAGGGATATGATGTTCGAGATCCATACTCGAGAGATCGGGCCAGCTGGGCGACTGACAAGTCTCCTCGAGGAGCTTTACCTTCCCAGCCAAAGCTGGCTATATGCTCCAACCCTGAATGGTTTGGCCGGACCGAGCAGACTAGGCCATATCAAATGGCATTGACCAAGGCCGAACGGCTGGGGTGGAAGCTAGAGCCCGTTGACTTTACACCCCTATTCTCTCTTGCCAGCCTCCTGTATGAAGGCCCATGGGTTGCTGAGCGATATGCTGCTATCGAGAAGTTCATACGCTCTGTGCCAGTGGAGGCCATGGACCCCGTAGTTCGAAGTATCATCATGAAAGCCGAGCAGTTCTCTGCTGCTGATCTCTTCGCGTGCGAATACAACCGACAAGATCTGTCTCGTGAGATCGAACAGATATTTGGGCAGTACGACGCGCTGCTAGTACCCACGGCTCCCACATTCCCTTCGATGCAAGATCTCATTGACGAACCTATCGCGGCAAACAGTCAACTGGGTAGATATACCAACTTCGTCAACTTCCTGGATTGGTCTGCTTTAGCAATTCCGGCTGGCTGGAGAGAAGACGGTCTTCCGTTTGGTATAACGCTGATAGGAGGGGCATGGGAAGAGCCGCGATTGTTGGAGCTCGGTCGGCGCTGGATGTCTGATGGCCCACGTTTGCTGGGAGCTACGGGTGTGGAATATCAAGAGCTTTGCTTTGAGCTTCCCGTTCCCGTCAATTCGATGCAGCTGGCTGTAGTCGGTGCCCACCTTTCTGGCTTCCCTCTGAACATGGATTTGGTCTCGCGGGGCGCTACCTTGGCCACTGCTACAGCTACAGCTCCGTGTTATCGGCTATTTGCACTTCATACAACAGGCCCAGTATCAAAACCTGGCCTGAAGAGGGTCAGTGATGGTGGCGAGTCAATCGAAGTGGAGGTTTGGAACATGCCGCTGGACAAGATTGGCAGCTTCCTCGGTACTGTTGCAGCGCCCTTAGGCATCGGATCCATTGAACTGCAAGATGGCCAATGGGTTCATGGGTTTATCTGCGAGCCTGTCGGCCTCGAAAATGCAAAAGATGTCACTAGCTTTGGCGGATGGCGAGGATACACCCAGTCACTCAATAGTTCTACCGCCGAGTCGTCGCGCGTCGCATCTCCTACACCTGCAACCAGTATCGGTGAAAAGCGCATCACGACGGTTCTGGTTGCCAACCGCGGGGAGATTGCACTGCGCATCATTCGGACTCTGCGTGACATGAAGATCTCGTCTGTGGCTATCTATTCAAATGCCGATGCTCGTGCGCCACATGTCGCTGCTGCTGATGTTGCTCTTCCCCTGGCTGGGAATACAGTATCTGACACGTATTTGAATGGCAAGCAGATCCTGGATTTGGCTATCAACGCTGGTGCTGATGCCGTCATTCCTGGATATGGCTTTCTCTCAGAGAATGCTGACTTTGCCGCCGCCGTTGAGACTGCAGGTCTGGTATGGATTGGTCCAACTCCTAAGCAAATGAGAGACTTGGGCTTGAAGCATTGCGCTCGTGATATTGCTATTACGGCCGGTATCCCCGTCGTCCCCGGAAGCAAGGGCTTGGTTACCAGTCTTGAAGATGCACTGGCAGAAGCAGACAAAATCTGCTATCCAGTGATGGTGAAAAGCACCGCTGGTGGAGGTGGAATTGGCCTTCAGCGGTGCGCCGACATTGATGCACTTCGAGAAGCATTTGATGGCGTTCGTCGACTGGGGCAAGCAAACTTTGGCGACGATGGAGTTTTCATCGAGCATTTCATCGACCGGGCACGACATATCGAGGTCCAGGTGCTTGGTGATGGCGCTGGTCGAGTCATTTGTGCTGGCGAGCGCGACTGCTCACTGCAGCGTCGAAACCAGAAAGTGGTCGAAGAATCTCCTGCTGGGTTTGTCCCAGTCAAAGTTCGAGCTGACATGCGCCGGGCTGCTGCTGCTCTGGTTGCTTCCTTGCAATATCGCAATGTTGGTACTGTTGAGTTCATCTTCGACATCGACACCGAGGACTTCTACTTTTTGGAGATGAACACACGTCTCCAGGTCGAGCACCCAGTGACCGAGGCTGTAACAGGACTTGATCTTGTCGAATGCATGATGCGCATTGCTATGAATGATTGCACCTCTCTTTTTCCTCAGCAAATAAATGAAATCCAGGTCTCCGGTGCGGCGATTGAAGCTCGTGTATATGCTGAAAGTCCCCTTCAAGGATTTCGACCTTCTCCCGGGAAGCTCATGAATGTCGAGTTTCCATCTGATGTCCGCATTGACACTTGGGTCAGTTCAGGCCAGGAGCTATCATCATCTTTTGATCCAATGATTGCAAAGATCATCGCACACGGCGATGATCGTCCTGCAGCTCTTCGAAAGCTCTCAGAAGCTCTGGCCAAGACAATAATTACGGGCGTGGAAACGAACCTGAGATATCTGCAGCAAATTGTTGCTTGGGAGTCATTTAACTCCGGATCCTTCACGACAGGATCGCTCAATACTTTCCCATACGAAGTTCAAGTTGTTGAGGTCATTGATGCTGGGTCCAACACGGCTGTACAGGACTTCCCTGGCCGTCAAGGTCTTTGGCATATCGGCGTGCCGCCCTCCGGCCCAATGGATTCCTACTCGTTTCGTCTCGCCAACAAAATAGTCGGCAATGATGAAAATGCTGCGGGTCTTGAGTGCTTGACCCAAGGCCCGACACTGCTCTTCCACTCTCCAACCACCGTTGCTGTCGTTGGTGCCAATGCTCCTCTATTTGTCGACGGGGAGGAAAAGAAGCCGGGCATAGCGATCAGCATTCAAACTGGACAGAAGCTTTCCATCGGAACAGCGATCAATGGTTCTCGAGCCTATCTTGCCGTTCGAGGTGGTTTTCAGGTCCCTAAAGTCCTAGGCAGCCGTTCGACATTTGCAATTGGTCACCTCGGAGGACACAATGGACGTAGCCTTCGACGTGGTGATCTTCTTCCATTAGCAGCTGTTACGGAAAAAGAACTTCCATTACTCATGGCCCCAATTTTCCCTCTGCCGATACCTGGCAACCGAGAATGGGTCGTTAGTGCGATCCCTGGGCCACACGGTAGTCCGACTCATTTCACACAGGATGGGCTTCAGGAGCTGTTCAATGGTGAATGGACTGTCCACTACAACAGCAATAGGCTCGGAGTCCGCCTCACTGGGCCCCGTCCAGAGTGGGCAAGGCAAACCGGTGGTGATGCTGGTCTGCATCCCTCCAACATCCACGACAGTCCTTACTCAATTGGAAATATCAGCTTCACCGGTGATGAGGCAGTTGTCTTGACAGCAGATGGGCCAAGCCTGGGAGGATTTGTCGCCTTTGCCACGGTTGCGGAGGCCGAGATGTGGAAGTTTGGTCAGATGCGACCAGGCGATCGCCTTCGACTGCACCCTATTTCTCTTGATGATGCCCAGGCGCTCGCGGGGGCTCTCGAGCATTCAATCGCTACTTTTAGCCCACTGACATCAGGAGGTTTGAAAGACACAAGCTCGACCGCTGTCTACAGCCCGGTCATGAAAGAGATCACCGAGGCTGGCCGCTTCATTCGTTGCTGCCAGGCAGGTGATCGAGCCTTGCTGCTTGACTTCGGCAATGAAGACAACTTCACACTGCGACAAACATTTCACATCATGAGTTTCATTGAGATGCACCGAGTTTCTCCAATTCCTGGCGTTGAGGAACTCACATCAGGAGTCCGAAGTCTCCATATTCGTTTGAAAGCAGGCTTCTCACTACCCCAAGTCCTTGATGCGCTGGTCGCTCACGAGCTATCTCTTGGAAGTAAACTTTCCTCTCGACTACCCTCACGCATCGTGCACATGCCTCTCGTTTTCGACGATGAGAGGAGCCGCAATGCCATTGCCCGCTACACTTCGACTATTCGTTCCTCGGCACCATATCTACCCAGCAACATTGAGTTCTTGCAGAAATTGAACGGACTTGACAGCCCTACTGGTGTGGAAAGCATTGTCTATGAAGGCACATTCCTTGTATTGGGCCTTGGTGATGTGTATCAAGGGTCCCCCTGCGCTGTACCACTGGATCCCCGTCATCGACTCTTCGGAACGAAGTATAACCCATCCCGTTCCTTCACACCTCGTGGTGCTGTCGGTATTGCTGGTCAATATCTATGCATCTATGCGACCGACTCGCCTGGCGGGTATCAGCTCGTCGGTCGTACGGTCCCTATCTGGGATGAGTTCCACAAGCCAGAACGAAGCGAGAAGGCACCGTGGATGTTCTCGCTCTTGGACCAGATTCGTTTCTACCCTGTCTCAGAGGAAGAGCTTTCCGCAGCGGAGGCCAATGGGACTTCCAGTGATCTCATAAAAATCTCCAGCGCTGAGCTGGATCTCAATGAATATGAGAATTGGCTAACAAAGAAAGAGGAGGATATCATTGCTGTTCGGGAGCAACGATCGAAGGCAATGCGTGAAGCGGATTTCTTCGATGATCTGCTCAAGCCTTACGATGCGGTCGCAATGCGGCCAGGTCGAGGCCAGGAGAGTGACGAAGTTATGACCGGAGAGCGGGTGAAGGCACTTCTGCCTGGGAGATGTTTCCGTTGCGCTGTCAAGGAGGGAGACGAAGTTCAGGCAGGAGACGCACTGGTGAGTACAATGAAAGTCGACATCAATAGCCAGGCACCAAGCTAAATATAATTAGATCTGGGTCGAGTCCAATAAAATGGAGGTCAAGATATGTGCACCGGTCACTGGGAAATGTGTGAGACTGCTGGCCACAGAGGGAGACATCCTTGAGCCCAGTGACGATGTTGTTATTATTCAATAGGCGATACGATATGTGAAGAAGAAGCAATATCATGGTACAACAGGGATCATCAATGTGTACACAGTACCAATGATGAAGTTTTGGACTGTACACGAAAGCCTCGAAGCAAGTATACCGTTTCACGCATTATTCTCGCCCTACGTTGGCCTCTCTACTTTCACCTCTTTTTTGTCCATTTTCGAGTGCCTCGGGTTGATCATATGTAGATTTATAAATCTGGGGATGTGAAAGGACTTAGGCTACGACTGTATATTTTTTGATAATTCGTCATTCGTTATATCGTTGATAAGAAACCCCTTAGTGAAGAATATTACAACCTTCCTCGTAGACAAGTGTAGTGGGAAATGGTTACCTGCTTCGGAAGCGCCGCCTTGACTTGGTACATGTCGGACTGCGACTCCCGAAGAGACATCACACCGGCCGTAGACCGTGCTGTTCAAGGCGTGCAACGCGTTGCTGTGCGAGATCTTGAAACATTCTCTGAGGATGTTATACCAGCCGTACTCATCTGCCAGGTTCATTGCTCGCAGCCCCGCGCTCTCGAAATCACTGAGGGGTACGCTCGTATGCCCAGGAAATCATCCGAGTGTGTGATATCCTCGAGACGCGGATGTTCACCCAAGGACAAACTGGACTGTAATGGGTGCAACCTGGATGCCGGGATGCGTCTCAATGTCGCTGTGCCTCCGTCGACAACGGTGTTGCCAGATTGGCTGCAGGTAAGGCATCACATACGACAACTAGAAGGAGCAGTCGGCAAACAGGCAACGTGCGTTCGCATCCCGTGGCCGCCAGCTGCAATCAACCAGCCGGCAGTCCAGTCCCAGCTGTCCCAACAGTCTGGCAGCCGGAACTTTCCGATCCGTCAGAACGACTATCGGAGCCACGGAGCACACGAGCGCTACGAGTCTCGGAAGGTCGCTGCCTTTAGGGCAGCCAAATCACCTACTTCTTCATGAATCATGCGAAGTGCCTCGCGAGCAAACGGTGCAGCCGATGCCCGGACCTGCAGGACCCAGCGAAGCTTCTCAAGTTGTTCAACGTACCCCGCGGCTTCATCCATTTGTGGACTCGTTGCCCACAGAAGACCAGCAAAGGCACCGACTAAAGCCACCTGAGCTGCTGCTGCAAAGCCCCAAAACGATTGAATATGTTCAGGCTGGAAAGATTCAATCAGGTTCATCGCCGATGTCAGTCGGGCACGGGCAGCGGTTCGAATTGCCGAACGAAGAGAAGGAGCACTATCCGGCGTCAGAGCACGGAGTAACGCGCGGTGCATGGTCAGCTCTGTTGCCATATGTGATAAATGCAATGCACCGTTCGTCGATAGTCGTAATGAGGGCGTGGATTCCAGCTGGAGGTTGGCGGGCACTGCCGCATGCCATTCGCGCAACTCCATCGCCAGGGGTTTTGCTAAACTCATCGCACCTGACGGTCCAATCCGCTCAAGTAGTCCGCCTTTTTTTGTTGCGCCAATTGAGCAAAACGTGGACACGATCCGACTGAAGATCTTAGTCAACTCAATAATTTGCAGGAATGCAGCCCGACCCGCGGCTCCGTCCACATCTCCGTCCCCATCCTCTTCACTGCTTGCGTCTTCCGGAAAATCGTTGAGTGTACACGCAGCAACATCCCAGTCGCTTGTCCCTTCGTTTTCGTCAATCTGAGCAGGAATGAGAGATGGGCGTCCGTGCACAAGAACACCCCACTTGTCCTGCATGTATAGCGCCCAGGCTAAACGTCGTCGTAGACCTTTCTCCCATTCCGGGATTTTCCAACCCGTACAATCGATATGAATTCCCAAAGTATGCCCGAGCGATAGGAGTTGAGCCGGAAGAGTGTTGTGGGAAGACCTCATTCTTTGCAATAACAACAAACCAGCCTGTAATGTAGAGAGCTTAGGCCGCTTCAGATCATCATCCATGGCTCGCATTGCCAGATTCTCCAGAGCCTCGGCATCCGGTGTCCGAGGGGCCGTAGCGAGAATTCGATCAAAGAGCTTCCAGTCTAGCGCAACAAGGTAGACGGCAGCGAGGAGCGGTGGTGAAAATTCACGGTAGGACCGAGCATATTTCTCTAGGAACACGCCTTTGTCCAAAATCGGAAACGTACGGTGCATGATACGAAAATAAAGATTTACCAAGGTTGGCCCCAGCGGACGTATCGATTCCTCAATGCGATCTAGGTCGGCGATGCGTTGCATTTCAGAAGCCGAGTCCTTGTCGGGATAGGTAATGAATGCGGCGGATTGATTCACACGTCGCGGATAGCATCTATCATGGTCGGCGAGTGAGATGGCCGATGGCCGCAAATCAAGAAGTTCAGGTTCATGATAGCTCGCGGGACCAATATACTCGGAATGAAGATGAAGCTCTAGACCTAATGTACCATCTAGTCGTGAATTAGTTTGATCAGCGCCGGGCTGGTCTTCGACAGAGCCAACAGTGGATGGCGTTAGAGAGCTGCGGTGTCTTTTTGTCCTTTGATAGGGTTAGCTAAGAATACTCCTGTCCGATATCGAAACGTACTTTGTTTCTGTAGTGCTCGGCGACTTCCTGGCCCTTTTCCGTGGCTGGGGACCCTGGAGGAATGTGCAGTCAAGACCATTCAAGTTACAAAATATGCAGTTGGCTTTCTCCGGCTCCCGTATACATCGCGACTTGCGATGACGGCAGCGATCGCATGGGCGTCGCGTAGGGTGGTGCGCCACCCTAGACGCGGACATTTGAGATCAACTCTTGTGTTCTTCTTTGGGTGTAGATACCCTGGACACGAGATTATACACTCATTCGTCTAGGTTAACTGAATGGTCATGCTGACGATGTTGACATTGAGTTGTGCACGTCCCCATTTGGTTGAACACATGCCGAGTTTCACGTGACCGTGTATAGTCTTCCTTATTCAGAAACGCGAAACTTGTGGAACAAACCAGATTGCGTGAACTGAAATATCTATGTAGGCATGTCAAGCTTGCAGGCAATCGATGCCTTTCTATCCGTGAACGATTGGGGACTACATATACTATAATACCGACACATGGATAGAACGTCAAAGTGACGAGAATGCAGCTAGGAAAGATTACATTAGCTATCAATCCCAACTTTGGGAACCAAAATCACCTGGATGTAATATCATATTCAAAACCTGTTCAGTAACCTACTATATAACCCGTAGAGAACGAGACGTACCCCCACGGGCGCCCCTCTCAAAAGCATGGAAAATAGACCCTTTTTTTTACTAGTAATGATATCTCACACGTTAAAAAAAGGCAAATAATGCTAATTCGCCAGGTCAGAAGTCAGGTCTGTTACTGGTTAAATATTCTCAACCTAGCAGGTCACAGGTCAGATACCCACCCACAATCATGACCTTTCGGTCTGTATGCCAGATATTTGACGGCCAAGCACTAGTAAAAGGGTGATGAATACATACAAAGAAGATAGGAGGAGGAGAATGTAAGGGCTTAGTAGAAGTGTGCCACGCGGTTCGGATACGTCTAATAAACAGCTAAAAAATAGACCATAAACAAACACAGAAAAAGCACCGCTGACTGCTTGTATCTCCAAGATTAGCTTATTTCTATATGACTAATCCAAAATATTGGAATAAGTCGAATGAGCAATAATATCTCCAGTGAGGATTCGGAAGTATGAAAAATCGCGAACTAGGTCCGTGCACGATCAACATCACCCCTTGGCATTCATTTGCACCAATTCCAACAACTGCGCATTTCCAAAGATATCCAGTTGTGACATCATCCATCCCAGCCACAGCCAAAAGGGCAGGCGCAAATACACTTCCCAATGCGTCTTTCCGCCGCGCTCTACTCAGCCAATCACGCTTGGCTGGGATGCTTGAAATCAGCACAATTGCAGCGTATTGCGCGCGCCACAGGTATCCAGTCGTCCGGAACGAAGGGTGTGCTTGTTGAGCGGATTGCGACAGAGTTGCAGTTGCAGCATGGCGTTGCCGGATGTCCAAACTCGACTTCCAGCAAGAGCAAGAGCAAGAGCAGGAGCAAGCCAGTGGGGCTATCACCAGCAATTACCAATGATGTTGCACACTCAAAACAACAACTGCCGTGGAGTATCCTTAGCATCGACATGGGAGTCCAAAACCTCGCATTCGCTCATCTGCGGGTCTCCCGCTCTTCGGGCTCTGCTTCTGCTTCCCCAGACCCAGACCATCCTCCAGAACTAGAGTTAACGGCATGGCATAAACTTGCTGTTTCAGAGATATCAAATCTGAACCTAATACCGACAACTTCAGACAACCCATCAATACCATCAGAAACAACGCTCCCTGTCACAAAAGCCAAATTAAAAGAAAAAGGAAAAGAAAACTATGTACCATCACTCTACGCCCAAAACGCCTACAAATTGATAACATCCCTCCTGGAAGCCTACAAGCCAACCCACATCCTAATCGAGCGCCAACGCTTCCGGTCCGGCGGCGGGAGTGCAGTGCAAGAATGGACACTGCGCGTTGGTGTCTTCGAGGGTATGCTGTATGCCATTATCCATGCGCTGCGGGAGGAGAGGGGCGGCTCTTTGCAGGATGTTATTGTTCAGGGCATTGAGCCGAAGAGAGTCGTTCGGTATTGGCTTGAAGGTGGCACAGGGAAAGATACCGATGAGAAAGGTGATGATGGGAAAGCAAAAAGGCTTACTGCGAGGGATGTCAAGAAGGCGAAGATTGATCTTGTTGCGGGGTGGATTTCTTCTGGTATGAAGCATCAGTATCAAGATCAAGACCCCAGGACTGGTGGCCGTCGAATTGGCATAATGGAACCTGGATTGCTTGCAGATACCAAGATCGTGCTCGCATCTCCGTCAAAGTCGCCCGTTCTACATGATGTTGCCTCTGGATATCTGCGGAAATGGCAGGGCCAGGCGGCCAGGAAGACCAAAGCGGCGAAAACGAGACCAAATAACAAGGAGATAGTGACTGAATCTCCCTTTGCCGGTCCTGTTATAGATGGCGTGGCTTTTACGCCCACAACTACAAACATTGATCCCGGAAAACTGGACGACCTAGCTGATTGTCTCCTGCAAGGCGTGACATGGGTTGAGTGGCAGGTGATGCGGGAGCGGATTGTAAGGGAGGGGGTGAAAGCATTGAAATCGATACCTGAATAAGTGGGTTTGGATTTTCTGCACGGGAGCAAATCCCATCAAGATCCGTGGCAGCATCTTCAACCCTGCCCTAGGCTATGCTACTTCGTGCCATTCTGCCTTTTCTCTAGCTCTACTCTATAACAGAGTCTGATAATAGTACAATCTTTACTTCTTATTTAGTAGAGGGGTCATATCAGTGAACTACCAAGTTCATTATCTAGGTTGCTACTCGACGCATTTTATCCTACAACAGTTCTCCGACTTCCTTAAGCTCTCTATCCAGACTGTTATTACTCCTCAACCGCTGAAGAAGATCGACACTGATCGACGGATCTACAACGGTCTACCGTAAATACAGTATGCACTACATATATTGTACCATGATCAAACTGGCAGCCTGATGAGACTTTACTCCACTGTATTCTACAATGCGGATTTGGAAAATTCAAGTTTTTTGTTAAAGAGGGCAGAGCCTCGAGTCAATTCATGTTCAAACTGTACGGACACCACAATCTCTCGACCGGCCTTCCAGTACTGTAAAAATAACACATGAAGACAAAGATAACAACGCGCGCATAAGATCATTCCGGATGTAGATCTGTTCAAAATCAAAGATACCTTTTCGGAAAAAACAAAAACAAACACGAAGAAAAAGCACAAGAGCGAAGCACTGGCGCTTCCCGAACCTGAGGTCACTGGTCCGTGTCAAGATACGAGAAAAGAAATGGTCCGAGTCCAATGGGAATGGTCGTTAAAATTGAGCTTCTCATTGGAGTAAAAATGGAGGCAAGGAAATGGCACGCTACTTGTAAGGGAACGAGGACAGTCTTCCGGGATTGAAAATTGGCTTGCAGATAGTAACGGCAAGGGGAAGACTGAAACCCAGAAACAATGCATGGCACAACCATTGCAAGAAAGTAAGATGTCGAAAAGAAGAAACATGAAAAAAGTGTACCGTAAATGAGAAGCGAAATCGAAACTTTGTACCGAAAAGACTTCGCAAAAATAGGTACAATACCAGCGCGCCACTGCGCGATTAGAAGGAAATAGGAACTTTCTCTCAGATCATCAACGGGCTCGTAACACACAGCTCCATGGAAGGGCTGGGATATCCCTCACATCCGTGCGAGAAGTGCTTAGATGAAGTTGCGGCGCCAGTTGGCAAGGTAAGGCTTGCCGCTGGGGGTACCGCTAGGAGGGGTGGGGTGCCCGCTGGCAGTGGGGAAAGGCTTAACGCTGGGGGTTCCAGAGGGAGTGCGAGTAGCGAAACCGCTGGAGGAAGGGGTGAGGGTGCGGGTGCGGCTGTAGGAGTGGGCACCGCTGCTGTAAGGGGCACTGCTGGTGGAAGCTGTAGTCTCGGGGATGGGGACAACAGCCTGAGTGTCCTGAGCACCCTCTCCGTTAGATCCGGTCTGCTGGTTGTTGTTGGCAGCAGGAGCAGTGGTCTCGGCACCCTGTAATAGAGTCAGTAATGTTTCACATTTGGGGTAAAGAAGACATACAGCCGTCACGGTCTCAGTAACGGTAGCGGTAACAGTAACGGGGTTGGGGTTGCAAGAGTCACCGTTGCCAGCACCAGCGGAGGCGGAGGCGGAAGGAACCTCGACAATGGTAACAGTCTCGGTCTTGGTGGAGTGGAGGGTGTTAGTGTGAGTGTTGGTCTTGTCAGCCTGATTATTTCCCTGCTGACCAGGCTTAGTGACTTCGGCACCAGCGCCGGACTCGGTCTATATCAGTTAGTCGGAGATCAATCATCGCGGTTATCAGAATACATACAGCAGTGACAGTGTGGTCCTGAGTGGCAGTCTTGTAGATGGTGGTGGTAACGAGGCTGGTTGAATCACCAGAGCCCACGGTGTAGGTAACGGTGATAGCGCTGGCAGACTCGGAGCCAGACCCAGGAACGTTAGTGCCTGCAGGGGCCGAGGCAGAGCTGCTCAGGATGCCGGAAGCGGAGGACGAGCCAGAGGGACGACCAGTGGGGTAGCCAGTGGGGCGAGAGGTGAAGGGAGTACGGGTGATGCGAGGCTTGCCAGTAGAAGCAGACGAGAAGTCCGAGGCAGAGGCACCAGCCGAAACGGAAGCCTCAACAGAGCTGGAGGGAGCGACGGAAGCAACCACGCTGGACGAGGAAGAGGCCACGGAGGAAGCAACGCTGGAACTGGCAACGCTGCTGGAAGCAATGGGAGCAACCGAGCTGGGAGTCTCGACGCTGGAGGGAGCAACAGATGGCACAACCGAAGGCTCAGCGGAGGGCTCAGCAGAGGGAGTGACTGGGGCCTCAGGAGCAGGCTGGACAGGAGTCGGGTAAACTTGAACGGTGGAAGTGGACTCAGGTGCAGGTGCAGGGGCAATGCTGATGGAACGGGCCTGGTTCGCACGGCGAGCGTGAAGACCCTCATGGGTAGCATGGCCCATGGCAGCAAGAGCAGCCACGAGGGCGACAGAGACCTTCATAACCATTTTGAAGTAATGACTGTGGTTAACGAGTGTGTAAAGGTGAGATGAAGAACCTTGAAAGGTAAAAGGCGAAGAAAGAAGCTGTAGGCAGAAAAAAAACAGAAAAGAGTGATGCACGAAATCAATTCGTGGAAGGAACGTATGCTTCTCTGGGAAGTAAAAGAATTGAAGGAATGCACTGCAAGCTTAAAGAGAGAAGAGAGAAGAAGAGAAGGAAGCCAAGGCGGGATAGCCTCATATTAATTCATTTCGCTAGATTAAAGTGATATAACTCCATGCATTACATTACAGTACGCTAAGTACACTGTACACTATTCGGTGGATCTCCAACTGCCAACGTGGTCTCCACTGTCTCAGGCACAAGTGTCTCATTGGTCTACAGCAAGCGGAAATTGACCTTTAATCTCACGGAAAATATCCCTATGAACTGACTTTTTATTGAGGGCTGAGGGTGGCGTTCAACTGACGCCACATGGCATCAGTAACTCATCACCCCTTTTCTTAAAATGAGCTATATGACAGGGTAATGATAAGGCAAGGCTATATGCGAGTGACCAAAGGGGCCGGGCACGAGCGGTTAATTTAAGGTGGGACGACACATTGAAGTGGCACTGGCAACCGTCTCCAACCGAATGCGCTGAGCAGAATTCGCACAGCATATACAAGTACAGTATCCATATATTCCGAGTTTTATGCCCAGGTGGGAAAATCCTTCCCCGTTTAGGCGGCAATCAGATCGTTTCAGCCGTTACAAAACCATACCATACCCGATGGTTTCACATTGAACGCCATCTGAAGGGTCCGCTTCCTCTATAAAATTTGAAATGACGATGATGGGATCTGGTCTAGCCCCTCGGGCTGGATATGAAGGTCCTGTGCACCTGTCAATGCCGTGTGGGGGCTATCCGAGTAGAGACGGCAGACTTCGGTCTATCATGTTTCATTTCCGGGACCCGAGTTGCGCCATTTGTGTTTGTAGTATGTCGGGCTTGTTTTCCCCTTCCCTGGATTCAGGTCTGGAATTGTCTCATTGTACTCCATACTCCGTATGGGGAGGAGTAGACGGAGAAGCTTTCGACATGAAACATCTGACTCGGATTTTTAGACCCCCTGCCCCTCTCTCGCTCACCAGCCTCACCACGTTGATTGGCCTTTTACCGGGGTTGGCAAACCTGGAACTCGGCAATTGTGAATCCTAGTGTGTCTGATCCTGTGTTTAGTCCCTTGAAAGTTCGTCTCGAGTTGAAGCCCTAAGATGTCCAGATGTGTAGAAGTGTACAAGCCAAGGCGGTGACGCACGATCTTATCATCATAGGGCTACAAGTATACAACCCCCAAAGATCAAAGATCAAAGAATGTCGTACCAAACCCTCCGCACCCAATACGCAACCCTCCTAAAACAATTCCTAAAATCCACCAAAGAATTCGACGTCCTAACAACCATCCCCCCAGACCACTCCGCATCAGAGACCCTCTATGTCTTAGATTCGAGCTTCAACCCCCCCACCCTCGCCCACCTCCGCATAGCCAGCACCGCCCTACAAGCAACCCCCAAGCCCCGTCCCCGCCTGCTCCTCCTCCTGGCAACGCAAAATGCAGACAAACCCTCCAAACCAGCCTCCTTCGAGGACCGCCTGGCAATGATGGAACTATTCGCCCGCGATCTGCGCGCACACCTTGCGACAACACCAGCCTTCGCGGACACAGCCTCCTCCTCGGAGTTCGAGCTGCCGGTCGAGTCTCTCCCCTTGATTGATATTGGCGTGACTAAAAAGCCGTATTTCGTGGATAAGGCGGCGGCTATTGAGGGCTCGGATCGGTATCCTGTTGCGTTGGAGCAGGTTCATCTTACTGGGTTTGATACGCTGGTGCGTATCTTTGATCCTAAGTATTATCCGCCGCATCATACGCTCGGTCCGCTTGTGCCGTTTTTGGAGAAGCATCGGTTGAGGGTTACTATGCGGCCTGGGGATGCGTGGGGTGAGAGGGAGGAGCAGCTTGCGTTTTTGGATGCTCTTGCTCGAGGGGATCGGGATGCTGAGGGCGGGCGGAGGGAATGGGCGCAGCGCATTCAGTTGGTGGAGGGGAGAAAACCAAAAGAGCAGAATGTCAGTTCTACTCGAGCTCGCGAAGCTCTGCACTCTGCTCCGCGGGACTTGGACTGGCTTGTACCAGATCTGGTCAGGCAGTATATCCTCTCTGAAGAGGCCTATCCCAGAAGTGAAGGTGGGACTGCCAAAGTGTAGATAGGCATTCATATCTGTCAGATATTAGAATAGTCTGCATCCTCGTATAATGATACAATATGATTGAATAAATACATCCATACGCCAAATCCCAAGTGTGGTCGAAACGCGCATCTGATAAACCCAACCACTTTTGCTTCGATCACATATCATACATCACGGTAAAAGTAAAGGTCAAGCTCACCGGTCAACCGGCAGAACTTCCCTTCCTCTTCACAATCCGCAGCATCCAATATCCATCACTGATCCTCCTCTTCCTCCCTCTTGCCAAGGGTATATGCCAGTCCACCACCGATCAAGTTAACCAAACACAGTCCCATCGTTGCACCCCGTACCACACCGCGCACACCGAGCTTCTTCATGAATGGCTGACGACGCCGTGCTGCTAGGAGCAGGTACAGGCCTGAGAATGCGGCGCTCATGCCGGCTGTGTCGGTCTTGAAGCCCTGCAGGTTGGCATAACTGGTGAAGAGCAGTGCTGGTGGGAAGAGCATGGGGAAGAATTGGAATGGCTTCATGTGCTGTGCTGCGATCAGTGAAGCGAGGAGGGATGGTGGGAATGAGTTTTCTGTTTGATATACTGTGTCAATGCTGTTTTGTTGCTTGAACTGCTCGCCATGGTTGGATCTATGGAGTGGGATGTTGATTGGTACTTACCACCCCAGGCGCGGAAGCGCTGGACCAGGGTTTGCTTGGTTTCTTCAATAGTGTCGTCGTCGGCCATCGTGAGTGATTGTGGCGTTCTCGAAGGTGGTGGTTTTTGGTGAGGTTCAAGAACGGTCTATGACGATTGAAGGACTAAGACGGTTGGAGCTTTGACAGCCAAGATTTGCCGCTGCAGATTGGATAATAAGACGTGCACTAATTCCCAGGTTGAAATGAGAACTAACGTTACTCACAAGAACTGCACAGAGCGGAGCCCGGGCAAGTTATGTAACTATCGCAATCCTACAGATGTTCCGACGCTTGGCAAAGACACCTAACACACCCCAAATCAGCCAACCTCCCACTCCACCCGGGATTTATCTGGGACCATTTCAACTCCCTCTTTTACTCACGCTGCTTAGTCTAACTCTGACGCGCGTGATTGGCTTTCGTTTCTCCGTCCTACGCCACCCAACACCACGAGACCAGTAGTCCCCTCAACACAAAACAAAGCAACCTCGAACCGAGATCTCCGACCGAGAAAACACGGTCGCTATGCCCTCCGCAACGGCATCAGGCTCCGATGCCAAGGGCGGCGCGAGCTCTCGCGACCACAACCAGGGCAATCAGAATCGCACTTATACCCCAGAACAAAAGGCGGCGGTGTTGCGGATCCGCAAATGTCAGGCGACAGCATTCTATGAGATCTTGTCGGTCGAGCGCTCATCTACGGATAATGAGATTAAGAAGGCCTATCGCAAACAGAGTTTATTGACGCATCCTGATAAGAATGGTTACGATGGCGCCGACGAGGCGTTCAAGAGTGAGTGATGGGTGAACCCCGAGCCTGGTGTTGATTTCTATGAGAGCGCCCGCTAATGCGCTATCGCAGTGGTCTCCCGCGCGTTCCAGGTCCTTTCTGATGAGGACAAGAAATCTCGCTATGACAAGTTCGGCGGCGACCCTGATAGCAGATTCCAGCCTGGGCCTAGTGCGTCAAGCGGTGGCTCTCCGTTCAGCGGATTTGGAGGTGGCGGTGGATTCCCGCGCGGAGGTGGAGGACCTGGCTTCGACGACGAGATTTCACCAGAGGAACTATTCAACAGATTCTTCAATGGAGGATTCGGTGGCATGGGCGGTGGGTTCGGTACGTCAAAAGAAAAAGCGCGATTATAGCGAAAAACTCAGAACTCAAACTAATCACCACATCCTCACCTTCTAGGCGGACCCCAATTCGTGTTCAATATGGGCGGAGGCCCAGGATTCCGCGTCCACCAATTCGGCGGCGGCGCGCCACGCCGCAGACCTCGCACAGCAACAACAGCAGAGCAGGAAGCCCAGATAGACGGACGCAGTTTCCTGCGCCAACTCCTCCCGCTCATCATCCTATTCATTCTCCCGCTCCTCTCGTCTCTCTTCTCCGGGTCCTCGACTCCATCCGGGCCCTCGTACCGATTCGACACCCCTGTTTCTCCCCATACTCTCGGCCGCACAACCCCCAAACTCAACCTTAATTACTTTGTCAACCCGCTCGACGTGGATAACTTTAGTGCGCGGAACTTCCGGGAATTGGACTCGCGTGTTGAGGTGGATTATGTTAGGACGCTGCGCAATGAATGCGATGCTGAGGCCAATGAGCGGGATCGCAGGTTGCAGGATGCGCAGGGTTGGATTTTCCCGGATGTCGAGAAGATGAAGGCTGCTAGGGCTATGGAGATGCCTAGTTGTAAGCGGTTGGAGAAGTTGAGAGGGAAAATTAGACTTTGATGTCTTCAATGCATGATGTCTTTTGATGTTGTCTGGTCTGGTTGTCTCGTCTGCTGACTACATAAGTTTTAGACTGCTCGGCTTGTTTATGGCATTTTCCTTTCTCTTTTTCTCTTTCTCTTTGGTCCTCCTTCTTGGGGGCTCCCGTGATCTGCTTTTAATATTATTAGCATACACCGCAGCAGGCGGCGTCTGTTGGAGTTGATCTTCTTTCCCTTTCCTTGTACATTGTTTGGGAGCTTGAATGCATTTTATTCTTGTCCTTTGTGCTTATTTTGATCCAGTTGGCTTTTGCTCTTTTAAGGTGCTAGAGTCAGTTTTAGGCTATAGGTATGTATCATGCAT